GATTTTGTTCATCTAAGTTTCAATTTTATATTTCAGGATCATTAAAAAAATCTGATGATAAAGACTATAGTGCTACAGATAATGTAAAGTTGATTAATAATTTTATACCATTCTTATTTTCAAAAATTGAAATTAGAAAACATAATAAATTAATTGAGGAAATTGAATATCCTGGACAATTGAGTACAATAAAAGGTACTGTTACTTATTCAAAAACAGAAGCAGTATCCAACATTTGTAATGGATTTCAATCAGATTTCAAAAAAACATTTGAAGCTGTGGGTAATCTATCACATTTTGGATTAGGTTTCTTTGAAAATGTTAATGTTCCAATATACAAAGGAGGATTCAATATATGTTTTGTTAGATCTGAAGATAATGATGCCATTTTTAGATGGAAAACTAAAAAAGTTGATGGAACTTTTGATGATACTACATTACCAAGTGCTGGAAAAATAATTATTGATGACTTTTTTATTAGAGTTCCAATAATTGAGTATAAAACTACAAGTAAAATTCAATATATTAATGAAATAACTAAAAAAGAAAAAATACTATTTCACTTTAATCATTGGCAATGTATTGAACAAAAGACAATAACTGGAAAAACAGTTAGTTTTGATATAACAAATATTTATCGAAACATCTATAATCCAAAATTTATAATAATTGGTTTTCAAAAAGGTAGAACTAATGATCAATTATATGACACTTCAAAATTTGATAGTATGTATATTAAAAATATTAGAGTAAAATTAAATGGTCACTATTATCCTGATGAATTAATAAATCTAGATATAAATAATGAAAAATTTAGAATTGTATATCAAATGTATCAAGATTATAAAAAGGTTTATTATAACAATAGTGAAATGTATTATGATCCAACAGAATTCATTGAAAATAGACCATTATATGTGATTGATACAACAAAAACTCCTGTTAATATTTCTGGTTCAAAGAATGATATTATTATAAATATGGATTTTGATTATGATATAACTGTTGCTAGTAAAACTAATTGCTATGTGGTTGTTGTGTCTGAAAGATTATTAGAGTATAATGTGATTAAAAATGATATAACTGAAATCAAATAAAATTATTATAAAACCACCATTTATTTACTGCTTTTTGACATATTTTTCAAAATATTATTATATTTTATGAATAATGAGACTACTATTGTTAATTTAAAATTTGTTTCATAAAAAAATATTAATAAATAAAAATTTTTGATTTTCAAGGTCACAAGAAATAAATATTTTAAATTTTATTATTTAATAAATTTGTACTTACCTTATAGATATATCATACCAAATTTCATGAAAATATCTTTAAAAACAAAGAAGTTATTAAGGTTTTTAGTTTAAGGGTAGTTCACCCTAAATTGGAAAATTTTAGTAAAAACATTGATTTTAAACATAATTTTTCATAATGTTGAAGTTTTAGAATTATTCAATAATTTTTTACATTTTTATAAATAAAATACAAAATAAGGGATTAAACTACCCTTAACATAAGTCAAAAACATTCTTTAATATTCAATGAGTGTATGTTTCAAATTTGGTTAAGATTGGTTTAAAAACACTCAAGTTATAACACACAATATATTTCAAATAATTTCATTCGATACTAACAATCGAATAATAAGTTGAAACATTCGATATTAACAGTTAAATTACTGAATAGGAATTCAAAATAACTCACACAAACATAAACAAATAATATTTACTAAACATTTCAGATTTATCAAAGCGTGCATTCAATGCACGCTTTCGTTGAACATCATTTGGTTTGGCAAAAAAAAAAAAAAAACTGCCAAATAAAACAGCGCAGTCACTTAAATTTTTCTACACAAAATATTTACTGTACAATTCAGATTTATCAAAGCGTGCTTTAGAAGCACACTGTCCTTGAATGTCATATGGTTTGGCAAAAAACTATCAAACAAAGCAGCAATCACTTGACCTTGAAAATTCTGATTGTTTTATAAACAAGTTATGATTGCAAACAATAAAAATAGTCTATAAATAGTTCAATAAATCACTTTTACTTATTAAAATATTAGTTAAAAACACTTGAACAATCCAAATATGGTGATGAACACTTCAAACACATTTCACTTCACAACACGATAGTTTCACAATTTTCATAGTTAATCTTCTTTATACTTCATCTTCAATCAATAAATAATAAACTTTTACCATCAATAAACTCTTATTTTAAATATTTCTTCATAAAACAAAATGAGAATATACATAGAAAATCAGCCAGTCGACAGAGCCACACCCATTATGATAGCTAATGACGAGATTTTTGCTAACTTGACACTTTTTTTTTGTTCAATCGGCTAGTTTCATTAGCTAACTATTTAACCATTGATTATACATTTTAAGCATTAATTATAAAATACTTTTCGATTAGTTTAGATAAATCAAAATAATTATTTTAATCCACACTGCAATTTACTAACATTCAACTGGTTATTATTTTATTCAATCACTTATTTTCATAAAAAGATCGACCAAACAAATTAGGCCATAGACTAATATTCCTTCAATAAGATTATATTTACAACACAATTTGTTTTTGTTGATTTTTACATTATCTTTAATCACACAGAAATGTATAATATATGAAATAGCACTAATTTTTAACAAGCTTTTCATTGGTGACATTTATTTTTAATTTAAATCAATACTTATCTTCTTATCTTAAGATTATCATTTTTGATAACATTCCATGTTTAAGTTTAAAATTATTTAAAATGAAATATGGACTTGTAATACATCAAATATCATTAGAATTTTCTGAGAAATTCAATACTTTTAATAAATTTTGAATAACTCAAATAGGAAAAATATTATTTACAAAAACAATAATTTAAATAAAATATTTAGAATATTTAAATAAAAAATTTTAAAATTTTACTTGTTTTTAAAAACATTTCAGTTTGTAGTAAATTTTATGTAAAATATAGACATATTCATGAAAATTTCATCAAAATTATATACTTTTTCTAGAAAAATATGAATATGTTAGAAATTGACCTAGAAGGGTAAAAAATATAGCATATTGTATAAAAAAATAGGAAAATTCATTTAATTTTTGAGTGGCTCCTTTTTTGGCCCAGAAGTGACATGAATATATCTACTTTTATTTATTTATATATGTGTCCGTTAGCGCGATAACTCGAGCAAAAATGATCCGATTTTGATGAAATTTGGTACAAACGTGTAAATTTACGTTTATTCGAACGAGTTCGCGAACCAGCATAATCGCACCATGGGAACGGGGGTTTATGGTGGGTTTTATGGGGTAAAAATGGGGTTTTACCATTTTTGACCCTAAAAACAAAAAATGCTGTAATTTCTTCCTAAACCATTTTGTAGAGCTTAAAAAAAGAAATAATTTAGTATATTGAAGCACCGTTGTATGCCTAATGGTCGCGGAGAAAATTCAAAAAAAGTGTAATTTTTTTATTCCCATGTTATTCTTATGGAGAAAATGAAAACTGTTGTAGTTTACTTGTTTATGGATATATGTTGATAAAATTTGGCAAATTTATTTATTTCATCCTTTACTATTGAAGTATCGTAAAAAAAAACATTTTACTTCCCCGTAGCAGCAAACCTAAGCACTCGTTAAATCTAATGTTTTTTAAATTTAGAATAAATATGTCTTATGGAAATATTTTGGTAAAAATTTAATGAGACAAGTTGAAATTCGCTTAGTCTGCAGGTTTTGCTGCGGCGGGGGTATTTTTCTAGTAATCGTGGTTTTTAGTATCTCCGTCATTGTCGGCTTAGTTCAAAATTTATGTTAATTTATTCATTTCTTATTCTTTAGGCTTGTAGGTACGTTTTTATTTTTTTTTATAATAGTAGAATTTAAAGTGGAAAGTGACTGGTAAATACTTCAAAATAAGTTACATTTTTAGAGAAAATAAAAAAATAGAGTCATAGATTTGAACTTAAGGAGTAAAGAACATTCATCAGATTACGATAACAAAGTTAAATTACTCAACCTGAAGATCTAATTTCTTTCTAACGTGTTAGATTTCTGGTTCTTCATCCAACCTAGTTCAAGGGTAAAGTTTTCAGTTTTCTAAGAACAACTATATCAAACTTGATCTCAGCCAAATTACTGCCCAAATCATAAAACCTTACTTCTTAGCCTTTATGTCACTCCATTGAGCTGTAAGACCTAACTAACTAGGTACTCATAGATAAGATAAAAACATACAGTTAGTCTATAATAGGCCTGTTATGTTAAGAAGTGGAATTTCAATTTTCCTTCTGAACTATTTGTAAAAGCTGAGGCATATTTTCATTTTATTCATTTTAGGTGTTTGATGGAATAGGCATAAGTATTGTAACTTACTTACTTACTTACTGCCGTGGCTCTTGGTACCCAAGGAGGTACTTTGCCTCGCCAACACACTGCCTCCAGACTGCACGATCCATTGCTTCATCCTCTCTTCTTCCCATTCTTCTCAGATCTCTTCTCACTTGATCTCTCCACCTCAACTTGGGCCTTCCAGGAGGTCTTCTACCCTCGGGATTGTTGTTTAGGGCGTTTCTCACTAAGGATCCCTCTTCCTTTCTTAACAGTATTGTATCTTAAGTATTGTAACTAACCTACCTAAATCAAAACTAGGTATTTAATATTTTTTGCTAATTTTAAAAAAATAATGGAAATTTGGAGGACAAATAGTTACCACAATGTTACTTCTTCACTGACTTGGTCATTTCTAAAGAAAGTGAAAACTCAAATTGAATTGATTGATTTAGATATCCATCTACATACTTAAAATCAAGAGCCTCAAAACTGTCCTGAAATTTAAGGTACTTTAGGGTGATTGGTAAGGCCCATCTAATTAATTACGTAAGTACCTAACATACTAATTATCTTCTAAAAGTACCCAAAATATGGGGGGGGGGGGCTAAAACCAGTCTGAATATAATTTTCTATTCTCAAAGGTGGTAATCAAAGACAAATTATTCAAAATCTCTCTCTTTATTGAGTCAAGCAGTGTATGTACAGTGAGGATCAGCTGTTATCATAAACAAGAGTAAACTCTGTATATACATAATACTTAACATCTTATTAATTTAACAATGTGCTACATAAAGAAAAAATTATTAGGCGACAAACAATATTTCGGTAATATAAAGCTACCTTGATTGTAAAAATAATTCCATATAAACAAAAATGTTTTTTAACTTTTCATTACATTACCTACTCTTTCAAAAGTATAGATTGGAAAAATATTCATTACATCATTAGGTAACTGAGGGTTCAGCATTTTTTGCTGCTTATATACAAAACAGTTTCAAACAGATTAGAAATGTTTTTACATTTTCATAAATCCAGGAAGATATTTGAAATTAAGTTTATCATTTACATTTTTAATACAATTTGATCATGAAACAACAACATTTATATAGAGAAAATTAGTGATAATTTAGTAACTAAATTAATTATCTACTCAATAGCGAAGTATTTCAAAAATAAAATGTTACTGTTTAATAAATTAAAAAATAAATAATTAGTGGTACAAAAACTACAAAATTAAAATCCCTTGTTAAAATTAAAATAATTTAAGCGAATAAGTTGATCAATTATTCATGTTAGATTTAAAACTAGATAGCAAAGATCTTCTAAAACAGTTAAAAACATTTTACATTTTAAAAATTTAAATATAAAATCTATTCTATCAAAAATACCTATTCGATTGACCATCTTTAGCACCAAAATTGGTAATTTATTTTCCATTAAAACTACACTATTACTATTGATTGTAGACAAAAGGAAAATACTAATTTTACTGATGTAGAACTAAAATTAATTGTGTACTTCATAAAATATATCCGTCAAATTTTTAAAATGATAAGGTTTGGAACCTATTGCTAATATTGGTAACTTAAAAATGATGTATGTTTTGATAGCTATAATTGTAATACCAATCTTTGAATTAATATTACACATTCCTATTATATCTTGAAGAGGAATAAACAGAGTGAGGATTTATTTCTAATTCTTAACAGTTGCTAAAGTAGTGAGGTCTAAACCAGAAATGTTGAATCTCAAAACCAAAACTTAAAAAGATTGTACCCCGAATCTTGAAACCTAAAAGCGAAACTTTTTTTATTTAGCTGGTTACATAGGTTGGTTACAATTAAATACAGGTGAAAATAAAATGTTAAGTATGTAAACAAAACTGAAAGAGATTGACTCCTAATACTGACATAATAATATAGCTTGTAGCTCAGTGGCAGAAAAAAACATGTTTAGATCTAATTATATAAATATGTGAATGATCGAAAAACCGAAAACATCATTATTTTGATAACATTAAAATAAGTTTAACCACCGACACCAACTAAAACATGAATATTAAACTAATTAGAAGACTTAGGGGTCAATATTTCTTATGTGTAAAAATAGTTATGAAACTGAGCTGAGTTGTAAATTTCAGTTATAGTATTTAAGATTTTCAGGTTCGGTTCAGAATACAATTCAACTTTTCTCATTACCGTTAATGTTGATCTGTTTGCTCTATTTCTACCAGCTAGTGTGAAAAAGAATAATGACGCAAAAAATGTCAAGGGTTTCAAGAATAAAACTGCCAAACTTTTGAATCTTGAAACTTTTTTCCTAAGTTTTGATGGTTTTGAGATTATTGATATTTGGTTTTGTCACATCCTATGATAAAGTAATATCAGTAAAGTTTTATTAGTTACTTGATGTAATTTTGTAAATGTTTACTTCATTAACAGTTATGTATACCATCCCTTACATGGTAAATTGCTTTTTTCTCAGTCATTTTTGTACAGCAAACCTGAAGTTAAAAAGATTAAACACATTCTACAGCATTTAACAGTTATTAGTTTATTTTTACAAAAATATCACTACTCCTAGCTACGAATACTACATCAATAGCTTCACAGAAGATTCGTAATTGTGCGTAGAACAAAAGCCTAAAAAGCACACTAAAATTTTAACTCAAATATAAAATGAAACTAAAGTAATCATCAGAAAAACCTAATTACTTTCTGCAGCTGGGCTGCTTGTTTCATCATACAACAACAGTAACTTCTGGACAGTAACTTATGACTAGAATCGTCAGGATTAACGGAACACAACAATAAATACTTTAAATAAACTTTGGTTTATCTAGTGCACTGACTGTCACTGAATCAATAAATTTCATTACCACTAAATAGTAGATATATTACCTGAATTTAAATTGGCAAGTGACAAAACAAAGCTTTACAACGTGATTAATTGAAAGTTTTGTTTGCAACTAACTAAATCCTCAAATTTTTGTATTTCGATCTGTAAAATAACATCACCAGTGTCAAGGTAAAAAACATGCAAATTAAATAATAATAATCAAACACTACATAACATTATTTCAATAAAAATGATAATTAACTTCCACAAACATTGGTAAAAAAAACTAAAAAGTTTAACTCATTTCTCCACTGGTGGATTGGGATCTGAAATCTTCCGCAATGACTTGGAGGAGGTCGGGCTGGCGAGATCTGATGTCATCGACTTTGAATACATCGGAAGCCTAGACCTTGACCCGTTTAGTTGGCCACTCGTGGATTTTTTCCGTTTTGTTTGATTGAAACGAGAGTAGAAGCTTTTTCGTCGGATTCGTTCACTGACAGAGTCTTCGTTGTTGGCTGAGCCTGCGAAGATGTCCCTAGCGTCTGCGTACTCTGAACTGATCGACCACGTGTCACTCCCGTCTTCAGTGGGCGACAGGAACGAGGAGGAATCATCAAAGTCTCCACTGTATTTGGACTCTTCTACGCTTGGAGTAGAGTCTGCGCTCGGGATTGGTCGACTGAACTCCAACCTCTTCAATCCGGCGATCCTACTGTGTCTGCTACGACATTCCAAGTCTTCATTTTGACTGGTAACTCCGTTGCAAGAATTTTCAGTCACTTTCTGCTTATCTCTATTTTTGGGACTTAGTTTTCTCGACAGTCTTTCAATCACTGACTCTCTCTTTTGACTGTCTTCACTTTCTTTGTTCTTGTTTAATTTCTGATCCACAATTTTTTTGTAGTCTTCGAATTTCTTTTTTTGAAAGACGCTATGCAATTTATCGGATTTTTTTTCCTGATGTGATTGAGGAGTCAAAGATGTTGATCTTCTAGCTCTGTTTTCTGGCACAATTGAACAGTCTTCTAGAGAAACTGCTCTTTTAATTAAGTTTGATTCTCTTATGGAATCGTAATCATTTCTACCTAAACTGTTTTCTTTTAAAGACCTAATCGCTTTATCAACAATGCTCATTCGATTATCAACAGATTTTGCATCCTCCTGTGACTTCTTTGAAGTTTTCTTCTGTGTAGAACTCTGTTTTGATTTCTCTTTCCAGATTTGTCCATTTGCAACATTTTTTTCCTTTTCCTTTTTCTCGTAAGCGCTGTCTTCTTTAGGTGTGTCGTAGAAGTCAGGCCTCAAAAACCTTGAGACCTTTCGTGATTTTGATTTTTCTCTATTAATTTCTTTCAACACTTTTGACGGTTCATCATCCTTTTTATCATTGAAAAACTTTCCAAGAACAGATCTATCAGGAGTAACACTCAACGACCGTTGGTAAATCTCTGGTTTCTTACCTTCAAACAAAGATATCGACCTCTGGTAGCTAGGACTTCTCCTGGTTTCAACACTACTTGTTATAGGATTAGGACTAGAAGGCACAGAGTAGCTGCTCAAATCACTTCCACCGTAGAATGATTTTGGTCTCAGGAACCGAGAAGTGCGTTGACCATCCTTCATGGTTGATCCTCTACTCACATTTGTCGTCGGACTGGAATACTTAAATTCCGTGTCAGGATCCATACTTGATTTCACCGGTGTATGCAAAGTTCCGTATGATCTTGCAGGTGAATTCCTTAAGCTGTACGTTCGTCCAAGAGTGCCATAAGGCCTGATAGAACGATAATCATATTCTGACCCAGATGTGTCCAAACTATCACTGTGAAGTGAAGTAGACATACTTGGTCTAACATCACCATTCACAAACTCTGATGGATGGTTAAGTGATCTTGTCATACTATCATTATACGGTCTGAATCCTGTCTTATAAAGCGAATTGAAGTATGAAGGTCTTTCAAGTGAGTTTCTCCGAGGGGTTTGAGAACTTTCCAAACTGCTGTCTCCATTTACAGAACTTTCAACGCTCTCACTCTTCTGTTTTTCTTGTGGATTTTTTATTAGCAAGCGAGGAAGTTTTGAACATTTCTTTGACAATTCTGATTTAGTCTTTGTGGGTTTACTTACTGAAGATCCTATTATTTCGGAATTCGGAATACCCCTTGATGTTTTGATTACAGCAGTGTTTTCATATTCTGTAGATTTTATTTCACGCTGACCATTCTCTGGCAATGTTGAGAAATTTGCTTCTTGTGCAGAGTTGCTCATCTCTGAGCACTCGGTATTGTTAGAATTGCTGTAGTTAGGACGACTCACTTCTGAAGAGTTTCGCACTGGTGTTCTATACGGGGGCGGTTTTTCTTTCCCTGATGACTTCAAAGATCCTGTCCTACGTGAAGTTCCGATTCTATTGATTGACCCATCTGAAATCCATAAAAGGTTTCTGTTATATTGTAAAAAGTGGTATTAGTGGTTAAAAAGACATTTTCAAATTGGTATTAGTTAAACATTTGTTATATTTCATTCCATAGTATTAAAAGGTTTTGTTTTTGTTGTAGTTTTTGAGAACTGAACAATAAAAATTTCAGCTTTTAAAATACAAATAAAAATGGTCAGTCAAAAAGTCATTATTAAATAGAATCAGCTTACATTGATGTGATACAGAAAAACACAAAATGGCAATGACCTTGATCTCATAATTCTTTAACCAATACAAATCGCAATGCAATTATTTTGATGTAGGTTTATTTATTTTCACTGATTTAGTTTTAAGGTTAGCCTATATTATAAATTGATCGTCAATTATCTCTACATTATTCATTGAAATAGAGTGCAGTTATTATTTAAATTATGTTAAGAAAAGATAAATAAACACTGTACCTTAAAACCCTTTAATCAACTGCAAAATAAGTAAACATTAAACTGTTTAATAGTGCATTTTAGTAGTTTAATTACAATAAAATGATTGCAAGAATAGAATTCCAACCATCCGAGTGAAAAAAGCTTTCGGGGGAAAATTTTTAGATAAAATGGACGTTTCAAATTATTGTTAATAGTATTATTTTCATACTCGAGTATTTTTAACATCATAACTTTTTCTAACATTCGTAGACACAGTATAGTGGAGTGGATCAATGTATCACAACTTTTTGTACGACACTCAAAATGTGAGTGTGATGAAAATCGGAACTCTCAATGGATAATAATTTTTGTCCTTGGGGATAGACATCAAACTGCTCAAGCCACTAAAAATAAAAACCATCTGCCAAACCCTAATAAGGCTTTGAAGGACCAACCACTTGACAGACAAGACAGAACACTCCCATCCGATGCACAAAGCACATGGTTTTCATGAAAATAATGGTTGGTTGTTAAATAAAACCAAATAAACAAGACTTAGGTTTACGAATTGACTTTGTGTTCTGATGAAGAAATCTCATCTATACGAACCAGATGTAGCAAATGTTGCATTCACAACTAACATAGTTGTCAAACCTATGTTCACAAACCTATTATAGTCTTAATAGGTTTTACATAGCTCCGTCAAATAGTTCAACGATTAATATTGCTCATCAGCTTACATGTTTTGTTGTGGAGACAACATTTACAAAGCTTGCAACTCGTCAAAAACACAATTAAAACATGAACAACACAAACACACAAAAAATTCAAACTTACGAACACAAACATTTTGATAGCGTTATCTAAATTTTGTTGTATTCGTACCATTTGAATGTTTTTTTGTGTTTGTGTTGTTCATATTTCAATTGTATTTTTGACAAGTTGCAAGCTTTCAAAATATTGTACCCTATTCACAACAAAACATGTAAGTTGACGAGCAATATTAATCGTCAGACTATTTGACAGAGTTATGTAAAACCTATAATTGTCTTGACAATATAGTCCAAGGGCTAGAAACATGAATTTTGAAACATAGTTGAGTAAACTGTAGAGTATGCATAACTTTAATTTTATCCTTCTTTGATAAGTGGCTTAACATTTTTTATCGTTTACTACTTAATTGACCTTTTTATTGGTTGAAAATACGACAGAAATAAAAAACAGCACACTCTGCAGTATATCAATTTGACTAAATTTCCATTCTAACAACTTAAACATGGAACAGAATGTCTACTTGGTTTTACACACCACGTCCACCATTATTCCACAGAAACTCTGTACCCGTATTTCAAGCGTCAGTTGCAGAAACAACAAATGTCTCGGACAGTTGGAGTTGTACGGGTGAGAGGACACAGTTAGACTCTACGAGAGGAGAGGTTAGTATTACCTATGCAGTTATTGATCATCATCTGGAGGAGCATGCACCTCGGCTCGCAGGTCCGCGGCTGAAACAAACACACACACACACTACTGAGAACGGCTCGGTACCAACCTGACAAAGACTAAGGATATTACTGGTTTTCGGATATGCTGACAGCATGTTTTAATTGTTGTTTAATAAGGCAGCCACCAGGTTAATGATTCGGTTTTTGTTTTTTTTTATTATTGCTGCCAGTAGATTTGATTGATTATTTTTTTTATATAGCTGGCAGCGGATTTTAACTAGTAGGTATTTGGATATGGCTGCCAAGGGATTTTAATTAGTTTTTGGAAATGGATGAAAGCAGGTAAATGATTGAGTTTTCGGATATGGCTGCCAGCAGGTTTTAATGATTGGGTTTTGGATATGGCTGCTTGTAGATTAAATGGTTACGTTTTTGAATATGGCTGCTTGTAGATAAAATGGTTACGTTTTCGGACATGGCTGCCAGCAGATTTTAATGATTGGGTTTTGGATATGGCTGCTTGTAGATTAAATGGTTACGTTTTCGGATATGGATGCCAGCAGATTTTAACAATTTGGTTTTTGGACATGGCTGCTTGTAGATTAAATGGTTACGTTTTCGGATATGGCTGCCAGCAGATTTGAATGATTATGGTTTTTTTGATGTATGATGTCCAGAAATTTTTTTTATTGGATAGGTTTTTGGACATGTAGTTGACTGACAGTGACAGGAGACTTTAATGCTTGGGTTTTCAAATGTGGCTGCCAGTACATTTTAAAATAACTTTGAATAAATAATAATAAAACATAAAGTGGTATGTTAACTTACACTATGAAAACTATTACACAGTTAATAATGTGTCAAATATATATTCACAGTTAAAGATTGTTTCAAATGGTGTTTCAATTTAACAAATGTTATATAACGTCCTTCAAAATAACCTTAATAGGATTGATGAGTTAAGAATATTTATGTTAAATTTGATGCTTTTCCAATACAAATACATAAATTAGAAAGGAAAGGTTAATATACTAAATTAAACTTTTCAATTTGAATATCCAATATTCAAAAGCAAATTTAATGCAATACAATAGTAAAAATATTCAAGATTTTTAAAAAGTACTGCAGTATTTGGCAAATGAATTGGTCTTAGTAGTTATTAAAATATATATATATATATGTTACCATAAAAGGTTGCTATTGTATAAGCGAATGAGATTATGTGTGGCAAGTATTTATGTTGTGCAATAAAACTATAAAAAAGGTTATAAACATTAGCGGAAACCAAGAATTATTTTATGAATTTAGATTGCAAACATGGAGTTAATTACCAAAAAACTTTACAAGCAGAGTTAGAGACATTTATTGTCCAAGTTGTGAGAAGAATACAATCATTACAACAATAAAAAAAAAAAAAAAAAAAAAAAAAAAAAAACACAGATTGGATATAACTTGAGTTGGAAAATATGAAATACAACAGAATATTGTTTTATATTTTAATTATCTTTTTTTACTAATGAAAAGGTTTTATGTAGGCCTATCATTACTAAAAATTCTATTGAATTTTTGTTCAACAAGAAAACCATCTTTTATTTATTCTTTTACTTAAATATTTCCTTAAATAGATTTTTTGACCTTGAATTTTACTCAGAAATTCAGGTAATGTCTAATAACCATTGGGATTTTAACCGAATGCAAAATTTAATACTTCAACAGATTTGAATAGTCTTTTTCAGGTAGAAAGTAAACTCAGAGTCTGATTTGATTATCTATTAATATTAGTTGTTTATTTTATCATGGTTGTTCTAATATGGATATCAAGTAAAGAACAATTAAAACTATCTAATAATACATGAAAATAATAGTATTTGACTTATGTCGAAAACAACTTGAAGAAGGAATTTACTTTCAAAAAGTGATATAATTTAATGTTTATGTTAATATATTGTAATTTGGAATATTTTATGGTTTTGATTTTAATTATTTACAAATTTATTGCTATCTAGATTATTTTTTATCTTCAAATCTTGTATGTACTTGTTGGTAATTAAAATCTGAAACTTCAATTGCAAAATGTGAACAGATTAAATTAGATTCCAGATTTCAGTAACCAACAAGTCCTGGACATAAAGATTAGAAATAAAAAACACATTGATAACAATTCACAAAAATGTATTGGATAAACCCAAGTCTTCAACTTAAAACTTATTTATTTTTTAAGCTGTATGTATAAACTAGATAAACTAAATAACATGCAAACAGTTATAATGTAAGAAAATCAAACTATATGAACTTAAACGGATGGTTCTTAATAAAAATAAAGAAAACATTGAATTTCTTTAGAAAAAGAATTGAGAAAGTCTTCTTTCAAAACAATTACTTTTCTGTATGAGATATTTCTGTTATGTATCGAAATATATTTGTATTCACTATATTCACTATTCATTATGAACACCCACTTCCCAGGGAACACCCCACTAGGCAACTCAACAGGACAACACGTGATACCCTGGAATAGGAAATCACCTAGAGACATTGCTTTGGCTAGAAGATTTTCGAGTAAGCTGTTCAAGCCGGAGGTCGTGAAGTGGGCTGTCGATTCATTCAGCCCTTTCAAGTCTCCAGGCGGGGACGGAATATTCCCAGCTCTCATCCAAGAAGGACTAGAGGTCCTTTTAAATCATATGATAGCTCTGTTCAGGGGCAGCTTTGCCCTAGGTTACATCCCAATTTGTTGGAGGAAATCAAGGGTGGCGTTTCTGCTGAAAAAAGGTAGAGACCAGGCCCAGCCTAAATCCTACAGGCCAATTTGCCTGTCGTCTTTCATGCTAAAGACTATGGAAAAAGTGATAAACCGCCACATTAGGGATGCATATTTAGTTATCAACCCCCTAAGTGCGAGCCAACATGCGTTCATGAAGGGCAAATCTACAACGACGGCCCTAAGCACCCTAGTGGCAAAGATCGAGGAAACCCTAGAACACCAGGAAATTATGGCAGGGGTCTTCATGGACATACAGGGTGCCTTTGACAACGTGAGTTACAAATCTATAGAGGCTGCAGTCAGAAGCAGGGGCATCTCCCCCGACGTAGCAGCTTGGATAAATGCCCTGCTCAAGAGCAGGGTGGTGACGGCAGAATTGGGAGGCTACTCGACAGCTATCATTGCTCGGCAGGGTTGCCCTCAAGGAGGGGTTATCTCACCCCTGCTGTGGGCTCTTGTGGTGGATGATCTACTGAGAGAGGCTGACAGGAGAGACATAGACCTCCAAGCCTTTGCAGACGACCTAGTGCTGACTGTCAGAGGCAAACACGCAGCCACAGTGAACAACCTTACCCAGACAGCCGTTAGCTTCATTGAGGGGTGGTGCTCCAAAGAGGGGCTCACAATTAACCCTGACAAAACAGAGCTAATCTCCTTTACGAGAAGGAGAACTAACCTAACAGCCCCAAAAATTCAGGGGAAAAGTGTAAAACTTGTGAAGGAAACAAAATACCTTGGAGTTTACCTCGACCAGAAACTGACCTGGAGCAGGCACTTTGACTATGTACTCGCAAAAGGTACAGGTGCTTTTGGTGCTTGCAGAAGAACCTTTGGCAAGAAATGGGGACTCAGTCCCAAACTCACACATTGGACCTATGAAGCCATAGTCAAACCAATGGTTACATATGCAGCCTTAGTATGGTGGCCTAAGGCAGAGCAGACAGTAGCTGGCAGGAAACTGCAGCAGCTGCAAAGGCTAGCGTGCTCGGGGATCTGTGGAACCATGAAATCCTGTCCCACAGCTGCAATGGAGGCAATACTCGACATGCTCCCACTAGGGCTGGAAGTTAAGAAATGCGCAGCCATATCTGCACTAAAAATGGGCAGCAGAGGTGAGCTGAATCTACAGAGGCAGTCTGGCCACCTGTCCATCCTGAGGGGATTCCCAAGCATGGACATGGAACTAGGCACACCAGACCTCATGACAAAGGAATACGACTTCGAGATTCCTTACCAAGTTGCAATAGGGGGAAGAGACAACTGGCAACAGTGCAACTTCAGCAATGACAGAGCATGCTTGGTCTATTACACCGATGGAAGTCGGAAGGATGAGAGATCAGGGCTGGGAGTGTATGGTAACAAAACCAAAATATCTCTGGCCTTGGGCAGAACAACAACAGTTTTTCAATCAGAGGTCCTGGCGATTGAGTGCTGTGCTAATAATATTATTAGCAAGAATCTAAGAAAGGGTAAAATCCTTATTCTCTCTGACAGCCAGGCAGCACTGAAGGCGCTGGGGTCATGTGTGACACAGTCACGAACAGTAAAAGGGTGTAAAAACACCCTCAAAAAGTTAGCAGAGCGAAACCAAGTCAAATTGTCTTGGGTTCCTGGACATTCGGGGCATGAGGGGAACGAAAAAGCCGATGCATTGGCCAGGAAGGGTGCGGAAGACCAACTGTCAGGACCAGAACCCTACTGTGGTACCCCCATAAGCTCAGGAGTAGCCAAAGTCCAAGACTGGGTCAAGGTTCAAAAGGCTCTGGCCTGGATGAACCACCCAGGTATGAGGACGTCCAAATTACTAATCGACCCCACTGATAAAGGCTGGAAAGACTTGCTGAGCCTTAAGAAAGGGGACATTAGTCTGCTAGTAGGAGTGTTAACAGGGCACGGTCCTATCAGGAAACATCTCAGGACCATAGGGAGGTCACAAACAGACCTCTGCAGGTTCTGTGAGAACGAGGTAGAAACCTCAGAACATTTATGGCTGGACTGTCCAGCGTTGGCCCATAGAAGGCTTATATCTCTGGGGAGGTTATTCCTGGAACCAACAGAGATAAGGAAGCTGGGTGTCTTTCAGCTCCTGGGCTACTTGAGGAGCCTAGGGCTGTCAGAATGAATTAAAGGGTGCTACAAAAGGTCTCCAGGCCGAAGTAGCTAGGGGTATGCCATTACCCCAGCCCCCACAAAAAAAACAAAAAAAAAAAAAAAAAAATTCACTATTCAAAGGTTTTGGGTTTTGGTATGATTACTTTCACACAGAGCAATTACAAATTACTAGGGTCCCTGTAATTGCAATTGCTAAGTACTACAGGCTGTTAACAAATAACAGTCATAATTTCTGATGACTTTAAAAGATTCGACTCAAAGATTATGGAAATACTTAAGATGTACATATAGCCGAATTAGGTTGTCCATAATAACAATTATAAATAAAAATAAAAAAAACATTATTTCTATTTCTTCTCCTTGGTGGTGTTCCATGACTTTCAAATATTTCCATAGTTTGTAAATTGGCTCTTTCAATGATTACTAAGAAATGCAACACAGTGTTAATTCAGTTATCTTTTTAGTATATAAAACTATCCAGGCTCTCTAGCTTTTTTCCATTGTAATATTTACACCAACCCAAATTCATATAGTAAATATTTCATATATTTCAACCAAGTCAGTAAATGTTTGAAGCAAACTGTTAAATTAGCAAACTTATTGACTGTATGTTCTTCTCAATTTTAATTTCTGACAACAGCTGGAGTTTCATAACAATGTTTGTTTCCCATGTTAATCATATGGAGAAATACGAAACTTTAAAGGGCCCCAAGGCCTCACTCTCTAATTATTTCCCTAAAAAGAAAGTTTCCTGGCACAACTTCACGTTACGCTTTTTCCAATGAGACCAAAAACATGTCAATCGGTTCAGTAGTTTCGGAGGAGTAATTGTCACAAAAAACCTGCTTGCGTATTAATAAGTAATAGATAGATATATAGATAATACTATAGTTCGGCCGCTTAGAAAGCGACCTCCTCCAGCATTGGTTTAGCATTAGCGCGTAGGTCGTTTTCAAGCGGCCGAACTATAACAAGCAGCCCAATACTATACACATATTAGGCTATCTAATACATTCCATTTTTATTTATTTACAGTATTTTGAGAAATAAACAATAAATCACATAACTATTTACATAGATGTTACTTAAAAATCAAATTAAGTAACTGTTTTCAAATACCATAACCAGTATATGGGCTGTTACTTCACACAAAATGTTTTGTATTTGCCGAGCAATTATATTTTAGTGCGCTATTTCATATCACTGCAGTAATGAGTTTTGTTAAGAACTGTTTTTTTTTTTTTGTAAATAAATAAATTAACAACGGGGTTTAAGCACTTTATGACATATACAGTTTATTTTATTAACTGCATAGAATTTAATATGATGTAAATATGTATATAAAATTAAGCCATTCGATTAAGATTTTGCCAACAAAATTTTATCATGTAAATTTTGTTTTTAGTTTTTAAGATGTTGACATGTCACCTGTTTAACCAGCTGTGCTGGCGAGGAAAGTGTATTGTGACGAATAAACAATCTGAATCTAATTAGTCTCTAAAGAATGGTATTAACATTTAACCTTATTGACATAACTATTTGAATGCCTCTTTCATTTGACACACCATTTACAAGTGCGAGTCAATTTTTAATATGATTATCAAGTTAAAACCGCTAGATATTCATTTAAAAATTTCACCTAAGAAATCTAGTGGATTAACTAACACAGATCTTTTGTGAATTCTAATGTAAAAAAAATTGTTAAAATACGATGCTTCTCTAAATAGCTTGACTAGAATAAATTTGAACGAATAATTAACAACATATCAAAATCGTAATATTTTTTATTGAATCCATATTTACTGGTAACTAAACTAACTATAACACTATGGACAAGTAGATTTGTTTGAATGCTCGAGTTCACCCATTGGTTGTACAGTAAACTACAAACATACATTATGTTCTAGATTGTACATAATAAAAATAACACTAAAATAAAGCGAGGAAATGATCACACCGTTAGGAAGGGACCGAGCCGTACCCTAAATGCTATCCACACAACACTACACAACAATTGAAAAAATAAACACCCAAAAAATAAAAAACAAAAATATTAGTTGTAATTTATAGTAAAGCCACAGAACAGGTCATGCGTTTGATGGAGATTGTTCAAATCAGTTTAAAAAAATAAATCACAAACAGTAACATATTAACTTACTGTTAAAAACAGATTCAAACACATTCAAACAGTAAAAGCATTTTTACAGCATCAATATTAGGAAGATTTCACAATTAATCCGTTAATTACGGGTAATGAGATAAGAAAAATAAGATATATGCACTGATATTATTTTTAAGTCCTTTTGTTTTTCTTCTCTTTTTTAGTCCTTTGTTATTCATAACCTGTATGAATAAATTAACTTTTTGCATCCTGAAAAAGTTCAGAAAATAAACACGGACAAAGATTTGAAAGACTGATTTATGAAAAAGAGATCAGAAACCTGTATAGAAATTTCTTTTCAAGTTTTAAATTTTATGTAAAAATATTTACAGACCAGTCTCAAAACATGCTCCAAAGAGTCATTAAAACATTTATATAACAACTGTTTTAATTTAAAATGAAAATTTAAATGGCCAGACCAAACTAACAATTTGTGAGGAAAGAGAATTTTGAGTGCCAGTTATTTTTTCTAAAATTTAAACCTTGTCAGTTTCTTTTAAAAAGTCAAAGAATTTTTCATGGCATTGTTTGCTGATCGTTACGCAGCAAGTTTTCAATCTCTCATAGGTTAGTTATCACTCGCATGTTGTGTAGTGTGTGTCGATGGCAGACTTACCTCTCGGCAAAGTGGAAGACTCTCGACTCGCGCTGCGTCGCCAGGGAACACTGTCTGCGCGGCCGAAGGATCGGGCCTCTGCTAACCTCCGACTAGAATCAACAAGTTCTTCAATAGTATTAGAACCTAATCTGTTATTTTACATTTAAAAATGTTAAAGTTACTAACAAAAATTTGTTCCGAGTTCATTTAAAGTTTGATTAGGTTGCTTTCCGTAGCATGGCCTAAATGTGTATATATATATGTGGTAGGGAATCAACAGAACAGGTGCCAGAATTAATTCTCATTTCAATAATTAATTTTAACAAATTTAAACTGTTATTATAATAATAGTGTGTATTGACATAACTTTTCCTGAACACAAAAATGTATCTTTTGCTAAATGAGTGGACTCATCAATTGTTATCCAATAGTTATTCTTGTTTCACATTTTATACTTTTTGAAACTTAAACTTTTTGACAGAAAATAAATTGTTTAAAGAATTATTTAAACACAGCTTGAATAAATTTTTGTAGTTTAATTTCATTTTTTTTTAAGAGGTTGGTGGCCTCTTTTAACCTTGCGTTTGTTCGTCTACTTGCCTAGCTGCAAGTTTAAGAACAACTGTACACAAATAATTCAGTAAAAGTGTTATAAAATTGATTGATTTTTTTCAGGAGAATAAATTCATTCTGGAATATCTTCAAAACATTAACAAATTAAATTTGTGATTTTTTTCTTTGTCTATGAATTCAATAAGTGACATAATGAGTCTGAAACTGCTCTAGCAAGTGAAATAAATAAAGGGACTATATTGTCAAAACTCAAATAAGAATAAAATAGCAGGAAACTGCTCTGCAAGCTGATTGAAGAGAATATGAGTTTTAAACTAGAAATCATTCTTGGATAAACTAGTCTAGGGATTAGCAAACAAAACTGCATAGAAAATAAAGAACAAATATTATATTGTGGACAGTAAAATAGAGAACCAAAATAAAATATCAGAAATAACAAATTAGGTATGAAATTACACTTGTCAATATTCAGAATGAGGGAGGTGGAAAAATCATTTAGATTTCATTAAAGAAGTCATACAATCAACCATATAGCTTCAATTCAGTACAAACATGCGAGGAATATTTTTAAATCTGTAATGGAGAAATAGTCAACATACTAAGAAAAATAGGGTTTACATGCCGATTGATTAGGTTAGCGACAAAGTAGCATGGATAATCGTAAAAATGCATAAAATAAATACCATTTTTCTAAAAGTAACAACCTATACAAATTTGCCTTACCAACTCGTGTAATGCATCCTTGTTCAGCAAGTGAAAAAAAACCATAAAATACCAATAAAGAAATAAACGTTCACAAAATATAAATTAAATTATTTTAGAAAAATATTATATTTTTGGGGGAATTTAAATTACTAAATAATTTGAACAGATGGTAAAATTATTGTAGGCCTGTGTGATAAATTTAGAAAAATACACAATTAGAAGAAAAGGAGGAATCATGCCTTATGTGTCAAAAAAACATTACAGTACTTTAAAAACTAATCACTCCATCACCTTCATTTTAGTTAATTGACAACAAAATTGAATCAAATGAGCTTCAGGTATGGTAAAAAAAGAAATAACATTCCTTTTTCTACAGTTCTGGGGGCAATTTGTTGTCGCATATTATCACAATAACACATCAAAATAAATAGATCATTGTAAATAGTCAAAATCTGAAAACTGCTGGGAAATAAAAATCTTGACTGCAAATCACATTTCAGCTAGATCAATATTCAATAACAACTTGGACAGTGAAAAGTTTGAATGTAATAACGAACTGAGACTAACTAGTTTAAGGAGTCGACAATTTATAAATACCTCGGAGGGATGTCGAAAATCGAATGATGATGGTTGAAGAGTCTTGGGAAAGCTGTCTGCCTGTCTTCCGTATTGAGTCTTTGGGTCAGACTTCTTACCTGAAAATAACCAAGGTTTTAATAACTGTTTTAAATAGCTGGTGTTTGAGTTTAACTAATACTAACAAAAAATTAATACCAATTATGACATTGTATAACAAAACTCACTGTTTAGTGCTAAGTTAACATTTTATATTTCTAGGGATGGACGAGATTGGATTTTTAGTTTGAGACGAGACGAGACGAGATGAGATTTTTTATTTCTCATAAAATTTCGAGACGAGATTGAGACGGGATTTCCCTTCTCATGCACAACGGGAAATGCACGTTCAAAATTTTTACCTGATTTTGTAACATTGTTAGATGACTGTTTAACACGTAGAGTGCGGCCGTTCCCGATCGGGTACGGCGCTTGGCCCCCGTACGGTGCGTCCGTACCCCATCGGGAACGCTCGGTAATGCCTTTTGTATATCTTCGTTTTTGCTCTAGCGTCGGCCGAAAGCGGACCTATACGACGTTAGCGTGTAGTATGTGACTTGCATTTTGTTGTGGTGTAGGTTGGTAGTAAATTTCCCCGTAAAATTCCCGTCTGGCAATCTCAAAAGTCTTCTTTTTGTCCCGTCTTTTTCCCTCCATTTGGCAATACAATTCCAATGGGACCGGCTACGTTCCAAGCAGTGCTGCTATCTGTGGGTGTTTAGCGAACTACATCGACTCTTGTTGTAAAGCAGGACATCCCCTCACGTTATTTGCTATTCGTCAGACCAAAATTGAAAAGGCCAATCACACGCGGCAATCGGGTTTACTCGAAGCTGAGGGCTGCGCCGCACTGGGGATACGCCCGCTATTTGACGTGCCGCAGCGAACGTGTTAAATACAAAAATAATGATAATAGGCAAGAATATTTACAATATTTTACTAAAAAACATCAGCATAACATTTTTTTATTAATCACGCCCAAGGCAGGGTGCACACTGGAGAAACCCGTTTCAGGAAACTAGTTTCATCAAATTGGTTTCAAGGAAACCATTTCTTTAACAAATGCACACAGAAGAAACGGGATTCCATCAGTTTCGTGATATGAATTCGGATGATGATGATGTGACTTATGAATTCGAATGATGATGATGTGACTATATTGGTGATGGCTAAAGAAAACTAAAAGAAGGAAGTATTGGGTTCACCTGTTGATTAGGGATAGTCAACACAGTACTTACATTGTAGCTCGTTAATTATGCAGTAATCCTGTACATTTGTAATATTTTTAGATTTTTAAGAATGCCAAAGCCTCTTTTTGAACGTTTAGTGGAATTACTTAGCCCACTAATAAAAAAGAAGGACGCCAACCGGAGGTTAGCTCTGTGAGCTGAGGAAAAATAACAATACATTGAGGTAAGTCAAGAAAACCAATAGAAACGTGAAACTGAAGCCTATACAAAATCTGTTTTTTGGATTTCATGTAAACCAGTTGCAAGAAACAAATGAAATTACAGTTTCATGCAACGCAGTGTGCACTACCCTGTGTTAAACTAATCCATCTGTTGCGAGCAACTAAAGTTTCACATTTCATGAAATTGGTTTCCTGAAACGGATTCCTCCAGTGTGCACCCTGCCTAACTTATTAAAAATGCCTAGACGATTAGGAAACATAGTGATATCAGTTAGGATAGAGTTCAACTTATCCTAAAATAAAATAAATCATAAAATAAAAGCAATATTAATTTTTATAAAATAGTTACTTGTTTAGACTTTTTATAGTAATAAAACATTCCTCACACTGCTTACACTTAACAAAACTTCTCAAATGTTATTAAAGTAATATAATTAAAATAATTAAAGTAATATTTACATTAAAAGAATTTATTGAATAAAAACGGCTTCGCAAAGGAAACGCAACTACAACACGCTCCTGTATTGCGGGTATTGTATTGACTTTCTGCAGGCGTTTTTAATTTTTTTATTTTTTTATTCTCGTCTCGATAAAAATCTTGGCCAAAAAGAAATCTCGTCTCGTGTAACGAGAATTAAAATTTCCCGAAATTTCGAGACTTGACCATCCCTATATATTTCTTTATATATTGCTTAAAGCCCATGTTTTACATTCGGTTGTTGTGTGTGAAAGAGAATAGGATTGTTATGATGGATGTAAGGGTTGCGAATCCAGTAACGAAAGTAACGCTTTTTAGCTCAATAACGGAAACATTTGTTTTTCAGGTCTCCAGTTCCTTTCTAATCCCCTGACATTGGCTTTATTAAGCCAAATTCACTTGCATCGCTTCTCTCGGCCGACACACACATAGTCTCTGATCTGTATTCGCACATTTCCTCATTTTGTTTGTCAATTATCCTCCGCACATAGTTGGGTCTCTTTAGTATTAAAGTCTCTATTAATTTAAGGGTGTAGCATAGAGCACAAGGGCCTAGATTTTTTAGGATTTTTTGAGAGGATAGCAGGCTTACCTGAATGGGAAAGAGTCCAAACTGGCACAGGAAACACAAAACAAAACTTTACACTATATACACAAAACATTAGAATATTTCACTGTCACTGACAGCATTTTCAACTAAGGAAGAGGAAGAGATGATCTCTATTAATTTACTTATTCCTCCCATGTCACAGATATTTATTATGTTTAAGATCCCCGTCTTCATTTTGAACAACCGCATTTACCTTGCATTAACTGAAACATCGCAAATACACACTGAGGTCTTCCGCAATCAAGATTCCGTTCTTCTCATCTTCTTCCCCTTAGGCCCAGGAACCCACAGATGTTAGAATGTAAAAAGACCTTTGGGTGATTGACAATATTACCAATAACATATTTAGATTTCTCTTGAACTAAAAATCTCACCCTTGACAGCAACGTTGAGAATAGGTTCTCGGCAGTGAGTATCTCAAAGTTGTCATCATCTTCGTCTGAGCTAACGCTATCCGCTGTCTCCAATTGTCGAGTTTGTCGTCGAGTGCTGTGTAGACCGAAGCCACGAGGCACGTCATCCTCGCTTTCGTTTAGGGAACTGCACAAAACAGATAAAATATCAATCTGTGTATTACAATGTACCTGATGTAAACAAATGTCTGAAAAACATTTAAGTAATGGATGCAACATAGACCTCATGGGCCTAGGTTAATAGGTTTTTAAGTGAGGATAGCAGGCTTACTTACTTACTTACTTACTGCCGTGGCTCTTGGTACCCAAGGTGGTACTTTGCCTCGCCAACACACTGCCTCCAGATTTTTCTATCCATTGCCTCATCTTCCCTTCTTCCCAGTCTTCTTAGATCTTTTCTAACCTGGTCTCGCCATCTCAACTTGGGCCTTCCTGGTGGTCTTCTGCCCTCCGGATTGTTCAAAAGGACGTTCTTGACTAAGGAGTCGTCCTCTTTCCTTAGTAGATGGCCAGCCCATCTCATTCTCCTACCTCTCACCTCGGCCACTATGTCTGGGTCCATATATAATTGCCTCAACTCTGCATTGTGTTTTATCCTCCACTCTCCATCTTCAAAGGTTGGACCATATATTTTTCTCAATATTTTGTTCTCAAATACTATCAAACGTTTTTCTGTTTTTTTACTTAACACCCAATTTTCTGAGCCGTATAACAGAACTGGTCTTATAATGGTTTTATATATACGGAGTTTTGTTTTGTGTGATAGTATTCGAGAGCTTAATAGTTTGTGGGATGCTGATAAACTTCTGTATGCTGCATTTATTCTTTGTTGTATTTCCATATCTTCTTCATTATTATTCGTCAGCATTACTCCCAAATAAGTGAAGTTGTTTACTTTTTTAAAGTTGTACCCTTTATTTCTATATTGTTGTCATTGTTTATTTGCGTTGCTCTCCCACACTCCATTATTTTTGTTTTCCCTTCATTTATTCTTAAACCAACTTTCTTTGTATGGTTTAGGAGTTTTGTGACCAGCATTTTCAACTCTTCTTTACTCTCTGCTATAATTGCAACATCATCTGCAAATGCAAGGACGTTTATTTTGGTCCCTATTGTAATTCCAGCTTCTGTTTGCCTTACTTCTTGTAGTGCTTCCTCTAAAGCTAAATTAAATAGCAATGGGGACAAACCATCACCCTGTCTTACGCCTGTGCTTACATCAAACTTTTCTGAGATTTCGCCATTTATCTTAACCTTACACCTAGATTCTGATATGCTTGATTTTGATAAGTTTATTAATTTTTTGGGTATTCCATACTTTTCCATAATCTTCCAGAGTCGTCTTCTACTAATCGAGTCATATGCTTTGGAGAAATCGATAAAAAGGCAGAGAAAGGTTTTATTGAATTCATAGTATTTGGCAATTGCCTCCTTCAGTATGAATATTTGATCGGTAGTTGATCTACCTCTTGTGAAGCCTGCTTGATGTTCACCTATTATATTTGATGTATACTCCTCCAGTCTTTTTTGTAAAATCTTTGATAGTATTTTGTAGGTGCAGTTGAGGAGAGAAATACCTCTGTAGTTGGTGCACACCGTAGTAGCAGGCTTACTAGTGCAATAAAAATATGTTTTGACCCAAACACAACCAAAATTTGTAAATTTAAATTTGTTAATTCGTTAATTGTAAATTTAAAGCTCCCAGCTATTCTTATGAATAATTAAACTGTTATAGTTTAATTGTTTATAGATTTATTATGATCAAACTTAGAAAATTAGGTTTTTTTTAACTAAGTTATTGACATTTTACTAAAAAAAACACGCTATATTACCCTCCATATAGCAGCAAACCTAGGTACCTGTTAAACCTAATTTTTATTTATATACATTTAATGAAACATCCAATCAGTCCAATGAAAATTTGCTGAGTCAGCAGGTTAGCTGTGGCGGAGTTGTTTTACTCATTAAATAAAGTTAAAAATTAAGATTTTATAGCATCACACTATTTAACTGGGATGAATTGTCGTAAACCTTGAAAGTAATCGTCAATTTCCATGGGTTTCGCCTATTTTTGATAAATAAAAATAAATAAATATACTTAATCACAAATAACTCAAAAACCTTAGAGAAAAATGAAAAATACAAAAAATGTGTATTTTTTGATGGACCACATTTTGTATACATATTTAGATTTTTCCTGTATCTCTAAAAATAAAGTCATTATAGCCAAAAATAAAGACATATGCTGCCATTTTCCAATGTGGCGGCAGTAGCACAGCTTCAATTCTAGGGGACTTTTAATATGTTCAAGAGGAAGGTACACCCAAAATCTGTACCAAATTCCCCGCTTGTGCTAAATTTTTTTAGGTTCGGTTTATGGAATTTTTGCTAATTTTTACTGCACTACCTGAATGGGAATGAGTCCAAACTGGCACAAGAAACACAATAGAATGTTTAAGTTGGTCTTGTATACATTTTATATGGGTGAACATGCATGTTAGTCTGCTAGGTTAGGTGAAAGGTGTTGCCACGTTTAGGTATCAGCGAGGTTGTCTGGAATTAGTGAACCAATGGTAAGATAATTCCCACCTTCTCAGGTGTGACTGGTTACACTGAGGAGGTAGGGGTTCGACTATTTTTGTTGTGTAGCAGTCATTAAAATATGGGTTGTTATGGCTCTGGGCATGTTGTACAACTGGTTTGTCTTTGTATCTAGTAGATACATCTTGTCTATGGCCACTTATCCTGGTTCAGAGGATATTGGCGGATAGGCCTATATACTGTGCAACAATTTGATTACTGTTGGTCATGTTTTTTGTTTCAAAGATGTTTAACCTCGGATATTCCATGTGAAAGAGGTGCAAAACTTGTGACAACCAATCGACCAAAACCTTTTCCAGCACGATCAAAAAATCAAATTTTAACATCAGTCTAAACCTTTATTCACTAGCTAAAACTGCACTATTTCTACCGACCTCATTCTAGAGATGGCCTCCGCGCTGGGAGTGACGTAGCCGCCACCCTCCACTGCTATAGGGATGATTACTTCTCTCGGAGACTTGCGTATTGGCTCTCCCACACTAGTGCTGCTGCCAAAGTCTGAGTCTGCAGTGCTTTGGCGAGACAGACTGAAAACAATGTGACTCGTTTAAATATCAGTTGAATATTCTAGTAACATAACTCATACTCACCAAACATAAAGTGGACAAAAAATTTGTAAGGTAAAACAATTAAAAATATAATTTGCAATCAAGCAATGTTGACATATTTTGATTTGTAGAATGAAGGGGTAGCTGCTAGCTTACCCTAGAATAAGTACAGTTTGGTCAAAGAACACACAATATTTGGTCGCATGAGAGCGTTTTCTTTGTCTACATTAGAAAAAGTACCCCAGAGAATGAAATATTGTGTGTTTTAGCTCTCTTATGTGTGTTATTTGGCCTACCTTCACTTCTTCCTTAAGGTAGCTGCAATATCTTCAACATAAAAAATAAAAATCCTGGTCTAGAAACTTTACTTGGACTAATGAAAACAGTACTTCTTCTAAGATAAGCTATCTGCTATACATTTATTCTACAAATCAAAATCTTTGTCTTCAGCTTTCCCTAGACGAAAACTAATGTTAACATAACTGTGATGTTGATAAATTGTTGCTCACTGGTTTTAGTTACAAGAAAATCCATTGCAAGAGAATTCCAGATTGAAAGAATGTTCACTTGATAGTGGGAATGAAACGAGTGGGATCGTATATTTTATCCATATAGCCAGAAATTATAACCGAGCTTGAGCCTTAACCATTTTTTTGAGAAAAGGTTTTTTTAAATCCTGTCTAAGGAACTTGGCTAGATTTTATAAGCTCAATCAATCACGTTCAACCTAGACCTGGATTAAGAACCGAGCCATATCCACAAAACATAATCTACAAACATAGCACAAGACCCACCTCTTGGAGCTGGTGCGACTGACGGGTCGCTGAGTGGAGGGGGGAGGAGGAGGGGGTTTCACAGCTGTTGAGTCCTCCAGCTGTATAGGTACAATGTACTCCCGCGGTGTACTGCTCTGTCTAACTGGGGTCACTCTGAGACAATCATATTTATTTATTTATTTATTTACAGAATGCCATTACATCATAAAATGACAGGACATTTGTCAATGCATTATAATACTTAAATCTAAATAGTAATAAATCCAAATAAAATAATTTCAACACTTAACCCTCCCAATTTCCACTTAAAAATTCATTTAAAGAATAAAATGTTTTTGTCAATAACCATTCTTTACATTTTTGTTTGAACTTTTTTGGATTTGCAATGTTTTTTAAATGATCAGGAATCAAATTATACAATTTCGGTCCAATATATTGAGGTGATGCTTCAAATAGTGATAATCTATGGCTAGTGGGCTTAATTAGGTTCTTATGTCTAGTGTTATACCTATGGTTTGTGTGACCCTCCCTGAAAATGGACAAATTGTTGAATACCCAAAATAATGCTTCTAAAATATACAGGTCATAAAATGTCAAAACGCTAAAAGCTTGAAAGATGACTTTGCACGGACTTCTTCGGGGTACTTTAGCTATGATTCTAAGTGCCTTCTTTTGAAGCCTAAAAATCTTCTTACCATGGCAAGAATTTCCCCAGACAAGTATTCCGTATGACATTAATGATGAAAAATATGAATGATAAACTGTTAATTGAGTTTTAGTATCTGTAACTTGAGAAATTGTTTTGAGAGAAAATATTGCTGAAGAAAGTTTTTTCCGTAGTTTGTCAATGTGAGGAAGCCAGTCAAGATTTTCGTTTATATGAATACCCAAAAAATTGACTGTCTCCTCAGACATTAACTGATGATTTGTAAAAGTGGTCTGTTTTAAACTATTTCTATGATCTGATCGAAAATTAACTACTTGAGTCTTGTCCATGTTCAAGGAGAGCCCATTTACTCTAAACGAGTCGTTTAAAGCGGCCAATTCTGTAACTACTGTGTGCTGAAGGGATTCAACATTGGGTCCCTTACATAACAGCATTGTGTCATCAGCAAATTGAAATACATCCATCTTTAACACATTTGGTAGGTCATTTACATAAATAAGAAATAGACAGGGGCCCAATATTGATCCCTGAGGCACCCCTACTTCAACTTTTTCCCAATTAGAATTTATAGTATGTCCAAATTTGATAATTTTAGTCCTTTGATATCTATCCCTCAAGTATGTAGAAAACCAATTTAGTTCCTTGTTTTTTATTCCATATTTTTCAAGTTTGTCTATTAACAAACTGTGATGAACACATTCAAAAGCTCTGGTTAAATCACACAGAACTCCAGTTGTCTTCTGAGATCCATCCAAGGAACTCGCAACACAGTTTACTAATTTAGTCATTGATTGTTGAGCACATATTGGTCGTTAAACACCAAAGTGGAATAAGACATAGCTAACATGTACTTAGAGATAGTTTATACAAATCAAATCAAATATGTCTTTATTCATAATATGTACAATTTATGTACAATGAATGGTGTCAGATCTTATTTCTAAGAAATAAAAACAAGTACATTAAAATTAATCTATTTACAAGTATAATACAGTACACCTTTTTACCAACAAATTTTACCAACAACGCCATTTAACTTATCTATATAAATCTATATATATAATTCCGTAAGTCAAATTTTTTTAAAGAAATTGTGAGTGACTGGATGGCCGTAGAAGGATGGGAGGGGTCTTATTTTAAAGGTCTTGACGTGAATTTTGAGGGAAAACTATTCATTTTTCTTATTTTTTTACCATAAATTCGCAACAGAATAAAACTTTTCCCATTAAAACAACATGGGGTTTAATTTGTTTACATCTTTTGAAATTAAAACAGCTGTGCCACAGATTTGAAAACAGTGTTCAATACACACATTTGGTTTACTTTTAGCCAGTCAACTATGAAATGTATACTATAATAAAACTGAAATATTGAAGATTAGTCGGAAAAACGTCTGCATTCTTTGTTTATATTTAAATCATATACTCAAGTTTCATTTTTTCATGCTTTTACGTTATTGTCGTGTTAAAGGAATAAACGACATAGAATAAATATTCTGTATAAATAATCAAAGAGTCGAAATTAAATCTTACTTCTGTTTTGTTTTTATTTTTAAATCATATGTTCAAGTTTATTTTAAATGATGTTGTTTTCTTTATATTTCTACACATTTTAAGGTTAAGGTTGTGTAAATATATACAACTAAAATAACCTATAAATGTTATTGGTTCTAAAATGACTTCTTAACATACTTGTCCAACATCAAGACCGAAACCTCCACCCAAACGGTGTAGCAGCGCCTCAACTGAACCCAACATAGCCACATCAATAGATAAAACTAATAGTCCACTACCCCACCATCACCCCACTACAATAGAAAGCCAGAATAGACTCAGACAAACAGACAATATCAAAATATTGCATTTAAATATACAAAGAGGTCTCCTAAACAAAATTGACCGTCTATTGGTTGAGCTCCATACGCATACACCTGATCTCCTAATTATATCGGAGCATGGGCTGAAAGCTGAAGAAATAACTGTTGTAAATATTAGAGGATATACTTTGTGTGCTAGCTTCTGTCGAACTCAATATATGTGGGGGGGTATAGCGCTATTCAGAAAGAATAACCTGAAGACTGAAATAGAAGACTTAAACTTATTCGAGCTGGGTTTCCACCGACCAACTGAATTGGAATTCGAAACAATAGCAGTCAAAATTAAAATAAAAAAGAACAATATTATCCTACTAGGTACTTACAGATCCCCTGCCTCAAGCACTGATAGCTTCCTCAGCAAACTTGAAAATTTTCTGCATTCTTATAGTAAAACCAAAAGCAAAATTGTCATCTTAGGTGATACAAATTTTAATATTCTGAGAGCTGACGACCCACACATAAAAGAACTGAACGACCTATTACTTCAACATGGATGCTATGCCTATCCCCTAGAAGCCACACGAGTCACGCCTACTACAGTCACTAGCATTGACGGATGCTACACAAACATCCAAAGAGCGGACATCAAGGTAAACGCATACAGCAACCCGATATCAGACCATCACCTCCTAACCTGTGAAATCAATAGTAAACTGGAATATTCTGGTGCTACATATAAATCCATACGAAGTTTTTCAACTCAAAACTTAAATAGACTAAAAAGTAAGTTGCACAAGATTGATTGGAGCAGTATGACAGGAGAGACAACAATAGACAACATCTACAACAACTTTTTATCAACTTTTCAACTCATTATTGATGAAACCATGCCTAAGACACTAAAGAAGATGTCAACAACAAATAGGCCTACAGTATTTTGGAATGAGCACACCTACAACCTAAGAGACAAGCTACAAGAGGCGCAGGATGGGTACCAACTCACTGGTCTGATCCAGGATAAAATAAAATTTCTACAGCACAAGGCGGCATATGATCGTGATATCATAAATAACAGGAAAATGCACAATCAAAACAGAATACGTAAAGCTGATAATAAGAGCAAAGAAATCTGGAATATCATCAATTCAGAACGAAATAAAACAACTGCAAGAAAAAGCAACATTACCCTACATATAAACAATGAAACCATTTCCGATCACTACCACATCTGTAATATTTTTAACAAACAATTTGCCCTCTCCACTCCAAACCTGCATAGAACCTCGGATATAACTCAAATACCGGACCAAACTAACGAGATACCAGCATTGCATTCCTTTCAACCCATTACTGAAAAAGAACTAGACAATCTCTTCAAGAGCCTAAAGGCAAACAACTCATCAGGCTTTGACACAATAACAGGGAAAATGTTGAAATTTTGCCAGGAAGAATTAAGGAATCCAATTAGATACATAATAAATGAGTCAATATTACAGGCTAAAATTCCCAAAAAACTCAAAATTGCTAAAATTCATCCGATATATAAGAAAGGTGAAGCTAGAGACCCAAACAATTACAGGCCCATTTCTAACCTGCCCGTTATCTCCAAACTCCTAGAGAGAGCAATATATAATCAAATTATCACACACCTGGACTCCAACAACCTCCTCTCCGTATGCCAACATGGCTTCAGGAAGAACCTCAGCACCACTACCGCAATCTCAAAACTAGTCACTCATATCACCGATATTTGGGAAGAAAGAAAAAATGCCTCTGGAATCTTCCTTGATCTACAGAAAGCCTTCGACACTCTTGATTGGGATATCCTCAGAACCAAATTAATCAGCATGAATATCCAAGGCAAAGCACTGGAATGGATCGACAGTTATCTGACAGATAGATACCAATATGTAGAAATTGAAAGTCAACACCATAACACCATTTACATCACCAAATCATCACTTAGAAATACATCAAGAGGAATTCCCCAAGGTTCCATATTGGGTCCCCTCCTCTTCATCATTTACATCAATAGCCTCCCCTCCAGTTTTGACAACGACCAAAAATGCATACTTTTTGCCAATGACACCACTATTGTTGTTCCAACAAATCGTCAAGCATCCAACATTAACTTAATAAAATCAACAATGGATCAAGCAACAACAGCCTGTGAAGATATAAACCTCATTATCAACAAGAACAAAACAGTACACATCAACTTCCGAATAAACAATAACAATAAAAGAACAGACGATTGGTCCGGACTGAGCATTCCCACGGTTGACTCAACTAAATTCCTGGGTATCTTCATTGACGAAAACCTAAGCTGGCAGATCCATATAGATTACCTTAGTAAAAAACTGTCTACTGCACTCTTTGTACTCCGTAGAATCTGCAACACCACCGATCTGGACACTACAATGATAGCCTACCACTCCATCTTCGCTTCACACTTGAGATATGGCATTGCCGCATGGGGTTCTACATCTGCCAAAAACCTCGAAAGAATATTAATTCTACAGAAAAAGACCGTAAGAACAATCTTGAGGTTGGACCCAAATGAACACTGCAAACCACACTTCATCCGACTCAACATCCTTACCATCACATCACTGTATATCCTTGAAACCATAATTTATTCCATAAACTTAACACCTGTCCGCAGACAAGAACTCCATACACATAATACAAGACACAAAGCAAACATAGATCTACCCCAACATAGACTCTCTAAATTCAGCAATACACCACAATACACTGGCTCAAAATTCTACAACTTGCTACCAAAACAATTTAAACATCTACACAACAATAAAACATTTGTCCAACACTTAAAAAAATACCTCACCAATAGACCATATTACAACATAAACGAGTACATAGAGGAACATTCTTACACACACATACGCCAGCTCACTTCGTGAATATACAGAAAAATCCCGTCCAGACGGAAGAACTATGACGATTCCCCGATCTACGGATTGTGGTGAAGACATCGAAGGTAAAAGGTAAAAGGTAAAATGGTGTATTTGCATTCCTTCGTAAGTAAATTTTTTTAGTGCAGTGAATATACAACGTAGAGTAATAATATTCTATCATACTTTTATAAAATCACCAGGGATTCAAGATGTTTTGGTATGTAGGCTGCTGCTTTTCATTATAAGTACTGTAATTAATATGAACGCCAGGGGAATACCACAAAGGCGGGGAACTGTTCATAGGAATGACAGTGCGCGTAGGAGAGCAAGAGTAGATAATGACGAACTTAATCAAGATATGTTACAACCCCTTTTTAGGAGACCCATGGTAGACGAGAGAAATGTAAAGATCCATGATGCAGGATTATTGGACCAAGAGTGCATTCAATGTAGTGCTCTTCATTTTAGAGAAGAACTAACGAATAATCATTTTATGACATGTTGCCATAACGGACTTATTAACCTTCCTCAGTCAAAAACTAATGTAGAACTTAAAAGTTTGTTTGAAGAGAGCCCACAACTGTATAACTTCATTCGACAATGCAACAGTGCGATGGCTTTTGCTTATTTTTCAGCCAGTAAGAAAGATATTCCAGGGAAAGGACCATACTGTTTCAAAATTCAAGGACAGATTTATCGTTCAATCTCAGATTTGCTGCCTCAACATGATGAAGACCCCGTGTATGGCCAATTGTACATTATTGACACATCAACAGCAACAGAAATTCGTCAAAGGCGTCGAGAAAATAGTGACTTAAAACCTGAAATATTGTCAAAACTAGCTGAAATTCTATTAGGAAATCCATTTGCACAAATTTACAAAAGAGCTTTGGAAGAAATGGTTGTACAAGGTGACAGTGAATTAGAACTTAGGTTTGTAGACAGGATGGATCGTCGTAGGTATAATAAGCCTACTGCAGATGAAATTGCAGGCGTCTTCAATTCATCTGAAGGCGAACCTCCAATGAATTTTTAAAATTCCAAACAGGGAAGCTTTTATTTATCCTCATTAACCACAAGACCAAAGCTACCTTAGTAAACCAGTATTTATTCACAAACAATGATATGTTTGCTGCCTTTTCATGTTAAACCACTGGAGTGATTCAAATTATTTATTGAAAATGACATCAACAAAAGCAAACAAAGAAGAACAACAAACTGGTTTTTACACAAAAGATATGGTGTAGGGATGCCTATTCTGACACATAGATAATGTTATTCTGAGTTTGTTTAAATACCGGTATTGCAAAAAGTTGTTTTACATTTGAGCTTTTTAGGGACTTATGTCCCTACAAGCCACTAGTAAAATTATAGTTTTGTCTGTACTTTGCTCAGAATTATATACTTTTAGGTTATTTTTACGTTTTATACATTAAAGAAGCAGAAACGAGTCTTATCTCTATTTCTGTCTGTCTGTCTTTCCCTTTGTCTGTAACACTCAAGATGGCATTTACGCAATCTTCTCCGTGAAAACCAGAGTACCTATCAAGATCCAAGTCATTTTAATATATTCACTGGATTGGCGAGAGTGTCTTTAGTGATTGAAATATGGCTTCACTACTTTGTAAATAAAATTACGGACGTTCAAAAATGGAGTTTTGTGCGATTTTTGTCAAATTTTCGGTCAATTTTTATCACATAATCGTCTATGAAATAACGAACAGCTGTTCGGATCAAGATTATTTTTTCTAGCTGTCAATGATATGTTTACAAATGTTGTTTACAAATACCGGAACCATTTCGAATCACGTTTTGAAAGCAAATCCCAACCAAGTGAGATTAAAAACGTTTTTCTTACATAACGGATTTAATTAATCGCAAGTGCAATAATATAGTCTAATAGTGTAGCCGTAAATGAAATCAAATAACTAGACATCGTCCAAATCGGAACCAGAAATTCTTTGAGTATAAAATGTTTCTTGAGTTTTGACAACCAGAAAGAAGACCTTGAATCAGTGTTGTATAGGGCTGGGACACTGAAATGATCGTCGCCAATAGCTTACAAAAAAGGTTTCCACTCATTGACGGCGCTTCAATGGCGGTTGTGTAAAGTGTAAAGTAAAAAATCACAACTGCAGTGGGTGATTGTAACAGAGGTTTAACAGAGGAAGTGCTAAACTCGCTTTTCCAATGTGTCACTTTCTGTTTCTACTCACCGTGTGATGCAATCGCTGGACCATACAGCCAATAGGCCCATAGCTCATATCTTGGGTACGTAAGCCTACATATTTATTCATAACAACTTTTTTGACGACGATCCTTGATACCGGTACTTTTCCATAGAATACATGGCCTACCTACTTAAGAAATATAATTACAAATGACCAAAACCCCAACATTGTGTGATTTTCGTCACATTTCCTTCTAATGTTAATAGATATACTAATCATTGTTTAGATAATGCGTAATCTATTAAATGACAAAAAGTTGTTTGGGTAAGGTTGTTTTTTTTTCAAACTGACACCGATAAGTTTACGCTATAACTTTTTACGAGAAAATCCAAAAGCAAGAGATCAATAACCTCGGGACTAGATATTAATGTATTTAATTGGTCGGATGTACTATAGTTCTTAGGTAGGTTCTTACGTAGGTACTGGTTCTTTTCCTTAGAACCGTTGGTAGCTGCTAGAATCATTTTTACGTAGGTACCAACACATCACTGTAGTTTACAAATTAGTTATCGTTGGTGTTGCACCTTATTTATTAGAGCCGTCCGTATTCAATTTAAGTGATGTCTTAACTCTGTATAAGTTTTGCTTTTTCTGTCTGGATTCCAAATCTTAGCTTACCCGGTATGCTAAGAAAATGATAACCTATTTGAGTAAAACATTTGTTGGGCAAACCATCATGAATTGTTTACGCCTTTATATTGTTTGTGTATCAATAGTTCGTGGCCTTTTTTGGATTGTTGTGTGTATGTCTGTTGGTAACGCATTAATGTCCTTATTTCTCAGTGTTTCACAGAATGGACAAGAGCACCTTTGATACTGAAAATGTCAACCGGAATAAAGTGTTAAATGGTGAGGTTGAGGTAGTACTTTAAATACGTTTAAGTTAACCGATGTGGAAAGTAACTTTCAATTATAGGCCTACTTTAGGGCTACGCTTCATGGATCTGTAAAACATTTTTTAGTTTAATCATTGGACATATGGACCATAACGATCCGGGTGACATTTAATTGCGAAGCATTTATTTTGGCTTGAACTGTCAGATACTGTATTTGCGAAGGTTTATATATAATAGTTTTGCCAGCATATCTGCAAATATGCAGAACTGCTGTTCTTAATCTTAATATAAGAAGGTTTCAACTGACTACTATAAGATCCCCGTGCGTAGAACGGGCACACAGCTAGTTTTATATAAAAACTCATTAATTGAATAACAAGTGTTCTCAATCATGAATGCCTTTAAATTTTTATTGAATTTCTTTATGTTAGTCTCACTTTTCAAACTTTCGGGCAATCTATTTAAGAATTTGGCACCCTAATATGTGGTCTTTTTTTTTAATTCTAATCTATGTATTTCTAATTTCAAATCATTTTTGTGTCTAGTGTTATAAGTATGATTATGGCCAAGAAAACTAGTATTAGTCATGTTTTGTTTCACATACATAACACATTCATATATATATAAATCAAACACCGACAAAATTCCCAGTTCCCTAAACCTATCCTGTACATGAGCCTTGTACTTCAAACCTAGCATGATTCTTATACATTTCTTTTGGAGTTTCAATATCTTTTTGAAGTTTTTGTGAGTTGTTGCTCCGTATACACAAATGTTATATGCCAAATGTGAATGGACCAAGCTAAAATATATTACTTTTAAAGTGGCTAAATCACAGAATTTAGATAATCTTCTAAGGACATAAATTCCTGAATTTATATACAGGGTTTGGAATGATGTGGTATTTAGTTTCTTTACCTTAATAACTCATATAAGCCTTATATGTCAATTTCTACCATTTCTGCCTGTCCATCCGCATCAAGGACTATTTTTTTGTTTCCGTTTCAAAGAAAAACAAGACCAATGACTACTACATTACAATTGTTTTACATATTCTCAAACCTTTATGTCACTCAGAAAGACTCATGATCTAAGTACAAAAAGTTTTACTAAAAAGTATAAAAAATATTGATTTAAGAGAAGGCAGTATATTCTATGATACAGTTTTGTAGAGTTAGCACATTACCTGGTACTTGACACAGGCGGGGGTGCTGCCACAGGGAATTTGACCTCTGACCTCTGTACTGTGGGGGCAGCGGGGGCCGCCACCATGTGCTCCACTTCACTGCGGAACTCCACAGGCTTAGGCGGGGGCCTAGTAAACAAAATAATGTACTCAGGTCTTATTACATGGAAAACTGGAAACAATCTATGTTATCTTAACCAATAGGCCTGCTTTAAAAACACAAGTTCACAGAAATATTTTTTTAAGAATTGTCAAACATAGAGTTTATTTATATTTTTTTGTACTCACATTGTCAATTTGATTTCAGCTCTTGACGTTCGTCTTCTAGGCAATGTTGCTGCCTTTCCGTCTCCACCGATTCCTTCGGTTATTGCATTGCCAATAACCTAGACAAATTTTAAATAGACATAGAATATTTCCTCCACTGATCCTAATTAAGTTTAAATAAGTTGTCAGGAGGAACTATATACCTTTGACATCATCACAGCTCCAACATGTAATAAAAATTAACTAAAGAAAAGTCAAAGTAATTGTCTTAACATAAAATCTGTTGAATTTCAGAGGATAAGCACTTGTTCCTTTCTTAAATCACATTTTCAATCTATTCATATTGAATTTGTTACTTAAACAAATATAAAGAATCTCACCTGAACAGCATTCTTCACCTTCTTCCTTGTGTCGTCCTCCACCTTAACTCCTTTATCAGTCTTTGTTTCTTCTTTCTTCACTTCAACAACTTTCTCCGGACTTGCTTTCTTTTCAGCCTTTCTCTCCTCACTCTCTGCCTTTTCCTTTTCATCCTCCATCTTCGACAGTTTCTCCACGTTCTCAACCAGTTTGTTGAGCGCCACGGTAGAAGCGAGAGAGAACTTAGTATCGTCCACTGGTGGAGGAGAGATGCTAGACTCACCCGATAAACTTTTTCTGGAAGCCGAACCTCTGACAAAATTCGTTGTTGATGAAGCCAATGAGGATCTCCTCTCGTATGCTTTCTTATAATCGCTAACTTTCACCCCTGGCAACACCACTTTCTTGGGTTGTGGCTTCGGTTGTGCTTCAGCTGTGCCGATTTTGTTGAACTTCTCAGCGGTTTCAAATATTTTTGACTTTCTCCTCTCCATTGGTTTAGAAGGTTTTTCTTCCTCCGCAGGTTTCTCCTTTTCCTCAGTTTTCTCCAGGATGACTGTAGCGCTAGGCTTAACTCCTGCAGGAGGAGCAGGAGACGGAGGTTTAGCAGGTTCTGCAGTGAGAGGAGTCGGTGTGGTCAGTTCTTCACTGAGTGATTTGACCTCCTCAATCACAACTTCATCTGAAGGCACAGGTGATTTGGGTTTAGGTGCTTCATCAACAGGAGTCACAGGCGCTAGGATCGTCTCACTGGACTTAGCCAACTCTTCGTCAACCTCTGCGATCTTCGGTTGCAGCATTTCTTCTTTGGGTTCCTCGACGACTTGAGCTTCTTCCCTGCTTTTTCTCGATTTCACTGATTTTCTCTTCGGTTTCTCAGAGACAGAGTCTGGTTCGGGTGTTGAATCATCTCTTCTGCTTCGACTGCTTGATCTTTCTCTTCTACTTCTCGAGCGTTCTTTTCTCTTTACACTTCCACCTTCTTCTTTTCTTTTACTTCTGCTTTCAGTGTCACCTGAAATACACAAAGAATAGAGATAAGAGCAGACACGAGTTTATAAATGTACATGTCTAATAACCAGTGTGTGTAAATGGTTACGATTATCTTTGTTGATTTTAAAAAATATTTAAACTTGTGTTAATACTGTTTTGTTTTCATTAACATAACGAGATTGAATAATTAAAAAAAGAGATTTGAAAAAAGGAGAGGTGTTTTACTGAACATTGCATATTGCACAAACTCAGGTATTCTATTGCCTACAAGGCATCTTGGTTGAATGGTTGTCTGCCAGGTAAACGTCACAAAATAATAACCAATTCATACAATACCTCCGTTCTGTTTCACAAAAACAATCACGAGTTCAGTTTGGGTTTAGTAATCATTGTGCGACAACAAGACAATCTAACCGTATTCTTAGTGTACTTACGTCGGGTCTGTGTAGGGGCCTCGGAGAGGAAGTCAGGTTGTGCCGTAGCCAGGCTGCTGAGCGACTGAGACCTCAATGGTCTGTCTCCTCCCTCAGCGTTGGGTGGCTGTAACAACAACAACACTTAATTAGGCTGTGGAGTTTCCGAACACAAGCATTTTAGCAAATTCAGAAACAAAAGGTAAAAATAGAGACGGATTAAAACAGTCTGGTGTTTACGGGAGGTCCTTCACAGATTGTATGACAAGAGGCGCTACTAAAACACACACAAGAGGCGATAGGTCAAATTGAACATATCTAGGTTCTGCCTAACTGACAATGTTTCCTACTAAGAATTGGAAGCTCCTTAATAAACAGCTTGAAAACTTGAGAAGTCTAGAAGTGGAGCAGTTTGAGGGTTCCACAAGAGAGCAGCTCGCTTACTACTTTGAGGAACTCACAGAGAACAGTATTAACTATGTCACACATAAACTTACAACCCCTCAAGCAACTATTAACATGTAAACTCGATAGTGAGTTTGCCCAAAAAATAAATACTGAACCTTTGTTTTGTTTTAAATTTAAGTTGTTTTGTGTGAGTGAAAAACATATTTTATAAATTTGAAGCAGTTAATTGAGTTTGCCTTGAATTCAAATTTAGGATGATTCACGTTATTTACAAAACACCCCTGTAATCAGAGAAAAAATGTTAAGGCATGATCTACTTTTGTGAAATTATTTTGACAATTTCAAATGCCAGAACTACGCTTCAATAATGTTTTCTTACATTCACTGGCCGTTTTACAGTATTACAATCTACCGTCATTGGTGATACATTGAAACTGATCACTTTGCCGTACCTGATCAGCCAATAGCAGCTTGTCGTCATTGCCGCTGGGAGCCAAACACAGGAGTAGGTCAAGCCTTACTGGCGTCTGATTGGCCAACTCCTCCGCCACATCCATGCAAGCTTCAGATTGGTTCTCGTCTATCCACCAATGAGAACAGATGGCCACAATGTCTGCTCTCCGAGCTGGGTTTACGTTGAGCATGTCTCGAATCAACGGTGATGCAGCTGAAAATATGTTTTGTTTAATATTTGAGGTTGAAGATGTTGTTACATGTTTTGAGCACAAGTGTTTTAAGAGTTGTTGTTAGCATCGGTTTACCTGAATGGTATAAAAAACTTCTAGCACAAGAAACACAAATATACACACAAAAAGACATAAAAATTACAATATTTGACTCTCATTGACAACATTTTTACCCAAGGAGAGTTTGATTTTTAGAAAGAGAGAATTTTTATGGTATTTGTTTAAATGGTATGCTTAGGATGATGTCAATCTCAATAATCCATGGTAGGCTTTAGTCAACAGAATAAGGTATATAAAAAATTATAGAATTCCATAATAAACTGCATCTAAATTGTTAATATAATTCTTCTGTCTCTTACTACATCATAAAATACTTCCTAGTTTAAATATAGACTTAAATGTTATGATTTTTTTAAATTTCGAGTTGTTATTGCAGGGGGAACACTTTTTATCAGAAGCAGAAAAAAAGGTTTTTACAATTATAAATTATATCAGTGAGTCACTTAACAGTCATACAAGATTTATTTTACAATCACTCTTCACCGATTATTTCACATCCATCAAAATTAAATCCGGAATTTAGTGAATTTGTTTTAAATACTGGATTTAACATTTTACCTTAGCAGACTTAAATAAAACTTAAGAATATAACTTGAGACACTCACGTGATGGTTTCTTAGGCTCAAAATAGTCGCCCTGTGAGATCTGACGGACGAGTCGTTTGAAGTTTGATCCGTCAAAAGGCATTGCTCCGTAGACTAGAGTGTACAACAATACACCCAGTGACCTGTATCAAACATCATGTATTTATATATGCAATGGTTATCTTCGAACATTGGGATATTTGCAGTAAATATAATATTGGTTTCAAAATGTGGAGCAGGACAAGTTGTATTCTACGAATGTAGTACTTTTAGTATAAGCTTTCTCAATAACTGTTCAGTCAATTTCATGTTAGAGGGAAATAGCTGTTTTGGTTATTTCAAGGAAAATCCAAGTGGCCGGTTAAGGATTTTTTTGGAAGGGAACGATTTTAGTTTCCTTAACCGTAAAAATATATTCAACTCCTCTGAACTAGTTCTAGGCTAGAACGAACATCAGTGGTATATTTTGTGATCGTATTATTGTGTATTCACAAGCCCCTCGACTCTTGTTTTGCTAGGTGCCGTAGCTAAACAATTTTACAAAAACACTCTTCATATTTGACGAAAAAAACTGGTACAGTAAACCTTCGATAGTTTGACACTCGATAGTTCAACACTCCTTGTAGTTCGACACGGGCTGAGTTATTTTGTCAAGTGATATTTAAAGGTTACTATTGTGATGTAATTAATTTGTCATCTATTGTTGACTTGAGACTTAACTAATGATCAGTGAATTTTTTAAGCTTTTTAGTATTTAATAAATTTGGGTTATTTCTATATAACACTTGTGTTCTTACTTTCCTGTAAATTAAACTCCATTTACTCCCTATAGTTCGACATTTCGATAGTTCGACATCCCTTAAGTCCACAAACTGTCGAACTATCGAGGTTCTACTGTATAAAAATACATCAAAAATCTCTAGTGACCAATCACAACAAAGTTCAAGAAACACTTTACTCGTCTACACTAACCAGCAATCTACTTCAGGCCCGTGATACGGAGTTCCTTTAACGATCTCTGGAGAAGCGTACAAAGGACTTCCGCAGAATGTGCTGAGAAGTCTGGTGTCTTCAAATACATTCGACAACCCAAAGTCAGCAATCTGTGGGACAGTTAGTTGTTCCATCAATAATTGCTAACTATTGAGTAAATCATTCAAAACCTCAAAAACCTTTCCATTTCTTAAACTATTAACTGTGGGTACCAAAAAGAGCAGTTTATATTTCTACTGTTCAAGTGCAGTGGTAGAAAATTATGGCTATGGTAGATGTGCACCGTTATAAAAAAAAAAAAAAAAACGGTAAAATTATGACTATAGCATACCGTAAATTTAAAAAACCAAATTTTCTCAAACCGTGTCCTCCCGCATTGCAAAAGCAGAGCATGAGTATAACTGCAATAAGCATTTCATATTTTATACGCCAACCCCGTACGAAGGACGGGTACTCTGCTGGTAAATTTATAAAATTCAATTGAATGCAATTTTTCATTGAGACAAAATTGTAATAGTAAAATAAATTTTATTTTACATTTGGATTTTGATAGTTCTGATTTTAGGCTACAGAATACTGCCATATATATTTTTACCCTTCAATTTAGCTCAAAAGAAACATATTCAAACTAGAGATAATCTATTTATGGTTAGGAATTAATACATGGACAGAATATAAGTAGGCCTACTACAGATGTATATCTATTTAAACATTCTGTTTTTAAAATAAACTTACTATGGCTTGTACATATGCAATCCATTTTTTATAAGGTGTAGTAATATGGGAGGACTAGAAAACAATGACTCAATAATTGGATCAGCTGTTTGTATTGTAATTTTTTAACCATATGTTCAGATTGTGCATATTGATTACCTTCTATGAGATTTTAAAAATGAACATTAAATACAAATTACATATGATCAGGATTATTATTGATTGGTTTTACTTTCTTTTTTTTTTGTTATCACAGTATCAGTAAAAGACATTAAAAACTTACTTTTGCATTTCCATTTTCATCAAGGAGTATGTTTTCTAACTTCAGGTCCCGATGGCAGATTTTGTGCTGAAACAAAATGCAATAATTATTATTGAGAAAGGGTTCAAATATCTAAAGAATTTTACCATCCCATGAAGTGGGTTATCCAAGATTGTTTGTTTTGGAGATGTATATCTAAGGAATTGGATTTCCCAAGGATTAAGATAACTGAAGGAGTTGGATTACCAGAAATTTGTATACACAGTGTGGTCAAATACACTGAAAAATAGTAAACCTACAAAAATAGACATAAAAAATTGACAAAATATAAAAATAGGCATCTAAAATACTACTAGGCTATACAGCTTAAGTGCGTCTAAACATACTTCACGTTACCTTGTGGCAATAGTATACAGCCGTAGATATCTGTCTGAATATTCTCCTCGCCTCCTCCTCAGACAACACCTTCCTCTCACTGAGAAAATCGTATAACTCTCCTCCAGCCGCGTACTCCATCACCAACACCATCTTCTCTCGGTTCTCAAACACTACATGATCAGAACACTTTAGTGTCTTGTTACATAGTTCAAGTTTATAAACTGTACAAAAGATAAAATATCTAGTTGCCAAAGGAACGCTCAGTGATTTGAATAGTGACCGATTTTTGTCATTTTGAATCCTTAAAACGTTAGGTTGATGTCAGAAAGTGTTGTTCGTAATCATGTTTGTCTATGTTCGTTGACAATGATGTTCGACACCTTTAGTGCTTCGAAACTGTTTGCCATTCAGACAACCCAGGACTACTTTGGCAACTAGTTATTCAACCTCTGTATAATATGTTAAGTAATCCAGAAGCAGGTAACATCTAAAAACTATGTTAAACGTTTTGTTCATAGTTACACTACACTACACTTTTGGCAGAAATAAAATTAAAATTCTATGAAGTTAACGTTAGGTCTCAGCAAATTTCTACACAAAAATGAATTAGTGAAGATGTGAAGAACTACAGTAGACCCCCTCTTAACCGACCCTAATGGGACCGGACCTAGGTCGGATATCTTAAAAGGTCGGATAAAACGGGCAATCCCTAAAATCATAACATAATGAAGTGCTATTCATTTGGAATTATATAATCATTATTTTGAAGTCATACTTGCATTATTTATAAAATAAACTACTCTTATCTCCTTTTTCATATTGATAGAAAAGTAACAAATAAACACAAAACACAGTTAAGTCAAATAGGCCTACTTTCAGTGGAATATATTATTATAATACTAGGCAAGAGTCAATAAAATTCCTATTTTAATAACTTTAATACTGTAATGTATTAATTGATGCTTTCCAAATACATCGTAATATAGTACAGAACCTTTTGTCGACATTAAAGATACAAGCGACCATTTTGTTACAAAACAGGACGTTTATTTATAGCCTCTCACTGGAGGCTCCAGGCACAAAAACTATCTTGACCTTGGAGTTGTTAACCCCCTTTCCCTGCCTTCCTTACAAGTTGCGTTGTTTGTTTACTCCGGCGATAAGATAATCAGTTCTCAAAATCGTAACGCACTTTATGATGTTATAAATTTGCCGCACAGATAACAAATCAGATCAGATGTGCTCGAGCTACGAACGATGATGACAAACTGACAATAGGCTATGCTATATTCTTTGTGCTCAACACAAAATAGCTTATTGTTAGTCATATCCTGTGGAGATAAGCGTATGGTTCAGTTCTCACTGCCCAGCGTGGGAGCGGAAATGCCGAGATTCCTAGAAAGCGGCGGTTAAACCGAGCTGCTCTCAAATCAAGGTCGGTTAAAACAAACTGTATTATTTTACGATCGAGGGCGGATAATCCGATTATCGGTTAATACGAGGTCGGTTAAGAGGGGGTCTACTGTAAAATTAAGCATGGGGGGATTGGCCACCAAATCCTTCAATAGTTATCGATTATACCAATTGTTATGCAAATGTAACAAAATCTTTTAAATCTGACCCTGCATGATGTGTTTCCATGCTACATTAAAAAAAACCTGCAGTCTTTGGCCAATTCATTTTTATACATATTAAAAAATCATGAGTGCAACGTACCTTCGTATATGTGTATGATGTTCGGATGTTGCACTGAACTCATTATCTGAATTTCGCGTCGTATCCTGATCAAATCTGCTTCCGTTTCTATCTTGCATTTCTTTATTGTCTTTATGGCTACCTGCAATGAACACGTTAAATACATTTGGGATTTAAAGCAATTTTTTATGTTCAGTGTATGCTAAAAAGAGCAATGTGTTAACAATTCATATGATTTATAACCCTTTAAGTAGTATGAGAGTCCAAACTTATATTTTTTCAAATTACATTTTTTTAAATTTATATATGAGGGTAAACTTTGAGAAAAACTTTGTCCACTTCTCTAAACTACTTTTTAGGGTGAATAAAATTTGTTTTCCTACAGTTACGTAACAATGTACATGTTCTCTCACTGATTTGAGAAAGCAAAGTGGCCAATTCGCTCATCAGTGAGACAATGTTAACATTGTCTCACTCTAATTACTTTGTCTCACTCCAGATTTTCAACGTGAAGGCACGAAATAGTGAGCGCGTAACATGCAGGCAACTTCGTATGCGCACTAAATACGTTGGCAGCACTGGCTGTAAATCAGCTGGTCAGCTGTTGTACTGTTGTATTTGTCACTTCACATTAAATGTTATATTAAAAGTTCACTTCTGTGTAAAAATAGGTTATGTTTCTTCACCAATTTATTTGTTTGATGGTAACTGTAGGAAAAGTATAATGTGCAACTCGAGTTCAAAGTACAATTGCCTCACTCGAGAAACCATTCCTCACTCGCCTACGGCTCGTGAGTAAGGATTTCTCTCGAGTGAGTCAATTGCTCACTTTTCTCACTAGTTGCACAAATAACTATTCCTAATTTGTTTTTTCTTTCAGTGTTTTGAAATACAGTAGCCAAATTAACAATTTTAACTACGGTACCACTCTAATACAAGATAAAATCAATCGATGTTGATTACAGAAAGTGAACAATAAAACTTATACATACCTCTTGACCTGTCTCCTTGTTTATCCCTAGTTGTACTTTCCCATACGTTCCCTGTCCCAGCTTCTTGACTAGGTCAAATCTGTGAACAAATTATGTAAAAATCAAACTTACAAGGTTATAGCATCATCAGGTGTCACGGAAATAATAATTAACTCTTCAAACCAAGACATTGATGAAATAAACACATTTATAGTGGGATTTATCTGGTAAGTCCACACCTGTATTCTTGCCACAGCTTGTGTGAAGAGTATAAATCAGAAAAATTAAAAGAAACAAAATAATGACACGGTTTTAAGATTTATAGGAGGTTGGAGGGCAAAAGTTTTATTTTTACAGGAATACAGTGTGCACAGCAGTCACGGAAATTCAGTTACCAACTTTTTGTATCTGGTATGTGTCACCATTTTTAACAGAGCTTTTTTTCTATTACTTTTGAAAAAGTCGTTAGCAATGAATCAGATTTGAGGCAAGCACTACAACTGTTCCACTTTGCTGCCTAGATTAGCCACAGTAAACCTCTAAGTATATACGCGGATGTCAAATTATCTAGGTTCCAATTATTTTGAGTACGTTTACCTCTATAATAATCAAGCAATTATGTCACTATCAAGTCAAACCTACAATTCTTTTACTCTTGCAGGAAAACGTCAGATATAAGTAAACCCCAAATTGACTAACTTGTGTTTTTGTTTCAATTAAGTTGTTCAATTCAAAGTGTGGCTTTTTAATGTTCAAGCTTTTAACAAGTTTGTCAAGTAAAATTTGTGTACCGTACTGGTTTCTTGGAGTTTGAACCATCCAAGTTCCACTAGATTTGTTCTAACATTCAGTAGGCCAACTACACTTAAACACATTTTGAGTCAACTGATAGAATATTCATCACATGACAGAAGAGAGGCACAGTAGTAAATGTCAGTTCAAACCCAGGTGAAGTGAAAACTTGTTGGCACAACTCTTGTGTTTACGGACTTAAAATATCCTCACATAAATAATACTTATTGCCACCTCATGTCCACACTATTTACTTTCAACAAAGAGAGACAAGACATTTTGCAACAATTATTCGGGTCATATTCTAAAAAGAAAATAATTATGTGTATACAGTATATAATATTAAATGAAGATGTGACAAGATAATCCGGTACTTTCCTGTTAAAGGGAACATTCATTATTATCGATGATTTTTTTCGATACATCGATATTTTTGTTTTCCTTTACGATGCATTACAAATCGACAGCTGATCTTAAGGCTAAAATATAGTCTATTATATGGATTAAGAAATGAAATTCTTCTAAGCTAACCTAACATAACCAACCAAACTTGCTGTACCATTTAAAAATTCCGTTTGATAATAAAGGTGAGTGGAGAATATTAAACGGAGTTTTTAAATGTTACAGCAAGTTTGGTTGGTTTTGTTAGGTTAGTTTAGAACAGTTTCATTTCAATATTATTTTTAAATTATTGTTTGTTGATTCTGAACAATATTTATATAGGCTATCGTAGTTGTCAGCTGATATGTTTCAATTTGTTAATATTGATATATCGAGAAAAAATCATCGATAATAATGAATGTTCCCTTTAACAGGAAAGTACCGAAAATCCCTGCTTTTCCAGTATTTCCTTTTTCAAAAGTAGGCTATGATGCGGTAAATGATGCTTGGAAACTGTTTATTAGAAGTGATAAACAAACAAGAAACATCTGTTGCCGTATGGATACACCTCAATTGTTTGGTTGTAACTATGACGAGTGTCAATGACAAGTAGTTGGAAATTGAAAGCTGTAATCTTATATATTAAAACGTGACATGGTTTTTTTATTTCGCGATTCTGAATCAACCACTTGAGGGATTTTCATGATTTTTGTGTTTACAGAAAGATAATTTTGAGAACTAGGGAATGTCGAAGCCATAATTTTAGTTTAGGGTTTCAGTTTTTTATAAATTGAGTTTTAATTTTAAAAATGTCTAGCAGCCAATGCTAACATTCTAGACAAGATTTTGGTATAATACCATTTGCTCAACGTAACAGCTGTAAACATCAGCGTTTGTGACCCAAATTAAGCATTTGGATAAAAACTTAATTAAACACGTTGGGTTGACGTATTCATACTATGTGTAATGCTATAATACGTTCATTTATTTGGCAAGAGCATGAGTGATTATTTAAATATAGCCTACATAATACTAGATGTTCTAATTTATGTTTTATGACAGTCTTTAAAATCTTAGGTTTGTTTTAGTGCAATATAATTTGTATGAACTAACAGCTGGATGGATATAAAAATATTCTATAGGACTATGAGGTTTTTTTATTTATTCTATGATTTTGCCATTGATTATGGAAAATAAGTAAGATTAATAGAGACGAGTAGACAACAGAGATAAGTAAGAACATTGCTGTATACAAATCGAGGCTCTGCTCGAAAGAAAAGGAAATATATCACCCAAAGGAAATATAACCGATATTCTGGAAATCTTGGTAAAATTTCCAGCAATTTGACACTCTAATCATAACATTTTATCAAAAATTAAAGCAAGGATGAGCGTTTAAAAACGGGATGATTTGAAGTTTTTTTTGTAATTCTTAATAAAAAACACCGAAACACAACATTTTTGTTACCTCGGCCTCGCCTTAATTCTGGATCAATTTTTATGATTAAAGTGTCAAATTACTGGAAATTTTTCAAGATTTCCAGAATATCGGTTACATTTCCTTTCGGCGGATAGGATTCACCCCATTTCGCATACTAATTTAGGTACATGTATTTCTTATGGAAGGAGTATTTTAATAAGATATTAATTAAATAAGTAATAACTCATAATCTGTTTAACCAAAATGAACACATTATATACTTTTCTTTAAGAAAATTTAATCTTCTTCAATGTTATAATTTAGTATAGTAGGTATACAAAAAGTTTATAGTTTTCGAGATACAACCAAAAACCCAAAATGCGTACCTTTACCCCCCCCCCCTCTTTTCCCCCTCAACCCCCTGGCTCACCACCTAGGTGTCAGGTCTTTTGGTATGTTAACACCCTAAGCCCCCTGAACAAGTTTCTGAAGGAATCGCTTAGTTACCTGCTCATACACTCTACACCCACTTTTGGATATCAATTATCAATTATCAATTAGTTAAGATGGGGACGCCACTATGTGCGTATTTTAACCCAAATATGAGTGAAGGATGAGTGTAGGATGAGTAGCGCGATCTTGTAGTCTTGATAATTCATTGACTGGACTAGCCTATAGTTGCAACAAAAATTTACTGACTTAAAGAAATACAGTGGAGTCCCGATAATCCGAACTTCGGTAATCCGAAAGTCCGCTTAATCCGAAACAAACATTTTTTTGATAATTTTTTTTTATTAAATTTTTAACACAGTTAGCTGTAGGCCCTACCTCTTCAAAGTATTCTGTAGTGACCGGGCAAGATAGAATTGTTTTTTAAAGAGTATTTTAGTAAATATTTCGCCATTAATTAAATTAATATTTTCATTTTCGTCCCAGGTTACAATCCCACCAAATCACCAATGGATTTAATTTAAGTGATAATGCTGCAGTCCCTAGGTCTAGCCTAAAGTAATGTGGAAAACAATCGCGGGCTCATGCCTAGCGTCCTAAAGACAACATTTTTTTTATAAAAAATTAAAATATTTTTAATAGGTAATAAAAAAAATGTTTAATCCAAAATATTTGGTAATCCGAAATGGGTCCGGTCCCAACCACTTCAGACAATCTGGGGACTCTGTATTTACTATGTGAATTTGGGTTGGCGTAAATATTACAATGGAAAAAAGCGAGAATGCCTGGACAATTCTATATACTAAATACCCCCGCCGCAGCAAACCTGCAGACTAAGCGAATTTCCATTTCCCTAAATGGATTTACACTAAAATGTCTCCTTAAAAATATCACATTTATTCCCTATTTAAATAGAATCAGTTTAAAACATACTTAGGTTTGCTGCAACAGGGAGGGTAAAAGTGTTTTTTTATGTAAAATGTTAATAGTTAGTAAGAAATAAAAACATTTTCCAAATTTGGGCAAAATATGTTTATAAACAAGCAAACTACAACAGTTTACTTATTCTCCATAAGAATAACATGGGAATTTTAAATTTACAATTTTTTGGAATTTTCTCCGTAACCATTAGGCGCATTATAACGCTTCAATATACTAAATTATTTGTTTTTTTAAGCTCTACAAAATAGTTTCGAAAGAAATTGCAAAATTTTATGTTTTTTGGGTCAAAAATGGGAAAAACCCATTTTTACCCCATAAAAGCCCCCATAAACCCCCGTTCCCATGGTCCGATCATGCTGGTTCGCGAACTCGTTTGAATAAACGTAGGTTTACACGTTTGTACCAAATTTCATCAAAATCGGATCATTTTTGCTCGAGTTATCGCGCTAACGGACACATATATATATATATATATAAATTAATAAATAATATGTAAAATAACATGAGTACCCTTTTTTTATATTCTTTTTTATTTAATAAATCACAACATGTTTCGTCTCTAAGGACATTTTCAAGTGTGTTAACCTAATTTCAAACAAAAATATTATGTTATGAATAAATACAGCTGTTAATTTTGTTAGTACCTATGTGAATGAATGTTTAGTTGTTGGTTTTTCTAACACTTATAATTTTGTTAAATATAGGATTAGTGGTTTGTGTGTGTACTATATTTAAAATGTTGTTTCTGTCTTCTTTGTAGTGTTTATATATGTGAAAATTTTCTTTTATGTTCATTTTGGTTCCTTTGTTAATAATGTCTAGTATGGTAATGTTTTCGTTATAATTTTTGTATGTATGGTCTGTAGAAATATAAATATATATATATATGAATTTGAACGGATGGTGTTTTTGACCTCTAGGGACCTCAAAACGAAAAAAAAAATCGGTCCCGGGTCCAGGTCTTACCGTGAGTACTACGGTAATAGCTTATTCCCTATATGGGAAATTCGCTAAAAGAAATCTGAATTAACACTGTGCTGAATTTCTTGAGTAATCATTGAAAGAGCCAATTTGCAGGTAATCTTATACCTTTTATAGTATTTAGGATTATTAAGCCTATTGTAATTATTTTCTAAAAAAAACAACCCCTTAAACTATATTTATAAGGATATAGTGACATAGTCAAAGCCAATAGAATCAATACTTCCAGAAATTTAAAAACATACTTATTCTCAATTAAATACAAATTTGTACAATGCTTAGGAACTCTTAAAATAAAGAGGTAAACGTCAAGAAGTGAATATATTTCTCTGGTTAACAGAGACATTGTAATTATAGCATTTAGAGAGAATGGTTATAAAAATATTATAAAAAAAATCTAAATAAATTCAGATTAAAAAGCACAATATTAAGTCTGAGGTATAATTACTTGTTAACGTATCTAAAATTAGGAAGATTTTTTTGCTAAATGAAACTAAGGATACATAAGTGAGACATTTATAACTTTTCATTAATCTGACGTATTTAAACCACGCCAATTCAATCTATCTAAGAGTGCGTTGTGGTTTCCCAGACTGCTATTAGTGGTTGTACAGTTGTGTTAAATGACTTGTGACACGACTATGAGAATGGTAATTACCGAAATTAATAGCCTTGAAAGTCATGTAGAACATGTCAAATGTACGGTATCTGCTTAATATCCATCACAGCTTTCCATACTAAGTGGATGTCCTATGTATTGATGATATTATGTAAAAAACTAAGCAGGAAATCACTTGTTAAATTGAATGGTATCTTCACTTCAAGGATGAAGGTTGAGGATATAGTCTGATTATGAACTATCAATAAATGTTTATATTGTCTATCTATCCAATTTGCAGGGACTTAAATTATTCTTGATTTTCAGTGAAAAGTATATTTTAGTAGGCCTAATTTAGTTCCCTAAACACTGACGTTAGGATCTAGGTGACACATTAACTACATTAACATTAGGGTAACTGATTAACTACAAAAACTACTGAAAAGTACACGACCCCCTCCATAACAATAAGACATCTGCCTAATAATCTTTAATGCAGTGGGGTTGGGTGTATTAGTATCTTAAAGTGGTTAGCATCTTGTACTTTGGATATGTTTGTTTTTCAACATTTCAAAAGCAACTTAAGGGTTTTAGACCCATTTCACTCAAAAAGATTTGTAATTCAAAATGCCATTGGTGACCTACCTCTGTTTGAGTTTCCGTTTATGGTTGTGCAGCCGGACGCCCCCCGTACTCTCCAGGCCGCCCATGATGTTGTTGATGGATGACTCCGGCACCACCATCTTGCCTGCTTATCTGTCTCAGTCCCTGTAAAAATGAGCGATTGAAAGTATTGTTCGTCTGTTCTGGTGAGTCGGTGGATCAGTTCCTGTAAACATAAGCGGATGAAAGATTCGTTCATGTGTTTTGGTTCGAGTGGGTGGCTCAGTTCCTGCAACATAAGCGGCTGAAAGATTCGTTCATGTGTTTTGGTTCGAGTGGGTGGCTCAGTTCCTGCAAACATAAGCGGATGAAAGATTCATTCATGTGTTTTGGTTCGAGTGGGTGGCTCAGTTCCTGTAAATATAAGCAGCTGAAAGATTCGTTCATGTGTCTTGGTTTGAGTGGGTGGCTCAGTTCCTGCAAACATAAGCGGATGAAAGATTCGTTCATGTGTTTTGGTTCGAGTGGGTGGCTCAGTTCCTGCAAACATAAGCGGCTGAAAGATTCGTTCATGTGTTTTTTGGTTTGAGTGGGTGGCTCAGTTCCTGTAAATATAAGCAGCTGAAAGATTTGTTCATGTGTTTTGGTTCGAGTGGGTGGCTCAGTTCCTGCAAACATAAGCGGATGAAAGATTCATTCATGTGTTTTGGTTCGAGTGGGTGGCTCAGTTCCTGTAAATATAAGCAGCTGAAAGATTCGTTCATGTGTCTTGGTTTGAGTGGGTGGCTCAGTTCCTGCAAACATAAGCGGATGAAAGATTCGTTCATGTGTTTTGGTTCGAGTGGGTGGCTCAGTTCCTGCAAACATAAGCGGATGAAAGATTCGTTCATGTGTTTTGGTTCGAGTGGGTGGCTCAGTTCCTGCAAACATAAGCGGCTGAAAGGATTGTTCATGTGTTTTAGTTCGAGTGGGTGGCTCAGTTCCTGCAAACATACGCGGCTGAAAGGATTGTTCATGTGTTTTGGTTCGAGTGGGTGGCTCAGTTCCTGCAAACATAAGAGGCTGAAAGGATTGTTCATGTGTTTTGGTTCGAGTGGGTGGCTCAGTTCCTGCAAACATAAGCGGCTGAAAGGATTGTTCATGTGTTTTGGTTCGAGTGGGTAGCTCAGTTCCTGCAAAAACATAAGAGGCTGAAAGGATTGTTCATGTGTTTTGGTTCGAGTGGGTAGCTCAGTTCCTGCAAACATAAGAGGCTGAAAGGATTGTCCATGTGTTTTGGTGAGTCGGCTCGTTAACTTTTCATCCCCTAAAATAGTGTTATGACTAGGCCTACTTTCTAGAGAAAACTAACTGACGTACCATAATTTGTCTACATATATTATCGTTTAGCTGTTCAACTGGTCTATTTTAATTAATTACCTAACTTAATAATTTTACTGTATCAAATGCTAGTGTTCATAAGCCTGTGAGTTGCCCATAAAGAAAAATCTGTCACAGTTATAGCAGGGTGGTTAAGTCCTCGCCTAACAATCTCAAGTTCTTGAAAAAGTTGGTAGCCTAACTTACTACCTATTAACTAAGCGTTAAGTCGGTAGCTATTCACCCATTCACTACCAGGTGTCTGGAGACTCTACATACAGAAGAGTGTGACGACAGGTGAAACTTTTAAATGGTTTGAGACTGAACCCAGTTTTTCCTTGATCATTAGGCTTTCAATTAATGGTTCCGCTAAATAAGCAGCTGGCCAGAAACAAATCTACACAAGGGATCTCACTCGTCACACTCTTGTCGCTCTTATTCATACTTAATTTTGAATAGGCTATTACACCATGCTGTCCATATTGTAAATGTTTTTTTTAAATGAAGCATACTATAGGTGAGCCAACATAAAAACTTCATGTAGAACTCAGGTAGCCAAAATACATTTACATTTTAAGGCCAAAGGAGACAACTCAGTAATCTAACATTTGTAGTTTATGTTTAGCTTAAAGTTATCTTAAGATAATTTTTTAATGTTCTATGACGTTGTCAATAGCAATATAATGTTGACACATGACAATAAAAGGGTTTCTGACTCTGAAATAACTTAGCCTATTCTTGATTTTCTGTAGCCTCTAAATTTCTAACAGCCTAATTTATCCATAATGCAAATTTCTTATCTTAGAATTAGTTAGGCCTAGTTATTTTTGTTCCAGATGTTTTTTGTAATTCCAAAATCTATCAAAAATGTCCATTTTTACCCCTACCGGTACTTTTTGATTTTATAGAGTGAAAATGATGATGAGGGAAAATAATGTTGATCATCTGAATATAGCTAGCTGACGTTAACGAGGCAAAGAAATCAGTTGAAATAAGTATCATCTAGACTTTTAGGTTCACCAACAAAGCTAAAATATTTAAGTTAAGTTTTAAGGTTTTTAAAAACAGTTTTTCCCATCCCATTGAGTTTTGTAAATAAGAACGTGGGATGTGATTTAAAAATACCCCCACACTTAGCCTACAAGATATTATCTTTTTAAATAAAGTGAAATTATGATACAGTAAATTATTTTTATAATGTTGGTTAGTCGATAAAAGATGCAAATTATACATTTATTTTATTACAATGCTTCAAAACAGGATAAACCCAGTTACATTGTAGCAGTAATATCCTAACAACAAAATCTTGATATGCCTATCTTTATAAGGAACCCACTTTTATGCCCGTATTTTTATTAGGGTGCTATATTAGGTCCAAAAACCTACCTATCTTGGTTTTTATTGTTATAGACAACTAAGTTAGGCTAGGCCTGTTGTGTCAGTTTCAAACTAAGTTTAGGCGTTGTAGTTTTTTGGGTAAAAACACCAAACCCTGATCTAATTTGAAGACAATAAGTTACGTTTAACTTATTTAACATTAAATCCGTTCTATTTATTTTCTGCAACACCGGTAACCTGAATAGCAGCTTATTTTTTAATTCTCATAGCAAGATAACCAATTTACAATGTGGATACCTACTTAGGTAATATCGAATTGCCAATTTGTAACCTACACTGATTAAAGCTCATTGCAATAGTAGCCTAACTTACTAAAAATAAAGACAAATCTTAAATTCTTACCAAGATGCAAAACGTCATTTAGAATTTAGAATTTATTTAATAGCCTACTTAGATTTCTATAGATTACTTTTGAGGATGGAAACTTGTATGTTAAGTTATTGACTTTGAAAGGAATATGTAATCTAAAGAATTATACTGGCAGTATCTTTATTAAAGGCATATTAAGTATTCCTTTTAATTGAGTCTAAATTGGCTTCTGGATTGTTTTACGAGTAGGCTAAGTTAGGCCTACTTCTTTAGGATTTACGTTTGAGATAGGCAAGTTACTGTACTCTATATATTACGCATTAGTTCCTACTTAAATTGATAACTTCTGTACGCCTATGTATTTTGTCTCATAACTTGGGCCTGACTTATTTATTTATGGTATAAACTTAGTGCTACAAGTTTTTACACAAAATGACAAAGCTATTTGATAGTTAAAATTCAAGAAATATATAATTTGTATTTAACACACATTTGTATAATCAGTGCTAGCTTGCCTGGTGAGACAAATTATTTTACAGATTTTCATTCTAACATTTATCGAGATAAGTTATGCTTATTTCAACTTTGCAGCTCAAACGCTTAGTGTGGTGTTAACGTTTCACTTAGGTTACAGTACCTACTCAAACCAATAATAGCCCAGACTAAATTACACTGCACCATTTTGTTTTGTCATGTTTAGGATGTTCACAGTGGGGTATTTGAAACTTCTTGTTCTTAAGACTTCAGAGAGAAGAGTATCAAATGTATGTAAACAAATATATTAAAACTAACCGTATTTCCAGGGAAATACGCAACATCAGTTATTTAAAATAACACTTACTTCCCGGCTAATAGTTTAATTTGCCACCCAATCCAATTAGACTAGTTAGTTAGGCCTGAGTTACCTACCTTGGTTTGAGTTAATCCTTATCTTCTTAATATCATATTAACTCTGACTTGTAGCATCACAAATTACACTAAACACACGGACACAGCATATACTTCGGAAATTGTCAAACATAATGAAAAACTAAGACAAAACAGTCAAGGCGACAAGTGAATTCCCTTGTCCCACACATACACACACACTCACGCTCGAGACATACTAGTTATTTTTAGCCTTAACTCAGCCAGAGACAGCTAGTTGAAAACTGTACACGCATTGACGCTAAAAAATAAAACGTCCAGCTTGTGTAACTCAAGATTAACACCATCTTACTGGAAACTGTAAAATGTTGATCGATGAATAATTCATATCTCAAAATGCTAATGGAGTACTTTTAGGTTATGTGTAGCATTGTTCACTGTTCACTCTCCAGCAATAGAACACACAATGAATCTATAAACCTAGACATAATTTAAAAAAATCTTATTGTTTACACAGCACATCCTTTGATTGTATTGTTTTTCAACATTTTTAGAATTTCTAAGTAGGTTTTATCTACTCCTCCCTAATTGTGTTGTGATGTTGTTAGGTTAAACAGGAAACATCGTCTGCTTCTGTGACTGTGAGCCACATCCATCTGCGCCTGGTTGCACACATGACGTCATTTTGAATTAGCACCAGGCTATCAAATTTGTTTACAGGCAGACTTTTAATACTATTTTATTAACTTACACTTAAGGGGTGGTATTACTATATAAATTATAGTTCTAACTTGTATGATTTTGTTCACAAAATGGTTGTTTCAAACATTAAATCCTACTCAAAAACGTGAATAGACACTGCGGACGCTGACTATGCAATTTGGATATTTGCCAGATGATGACTAATAACATCCACAATCATGACCTCATTGGCAATTGGCAATGGGCTTAGAACTCTACTTGGAAATTGTAGTTGTCATAAACTCCATTAACGGTAAAGTTCTATTCTGTGATCAATTAAGTACACATGGCATTATTTTAGCGCTTCAACATCGTTTACTATGGTGTTATACAGAAACGCTTTCCAGGTTGTTTTATAGAAACACACATAGTTGACTGCAGAAAAATTTCTATTCAACGATCAACGTTGTGTTCTGTTTTTGAATTCTTTAATTTGTTTTTCTCAAATTTAACATAAGCTATGCTTCCTTCTGATATCCATTTCATCCTAAATTTGTATTTTATAGTTCAAGCTAGAATTCAGTAATTTTCAAATCAGATTACAAAGGATTGAGTGGTGGTAAGATGAAATAACTTGACCAAAAAATTTGCTGAATAAGACTAGATAGCTGCAGACTCGTGCGACAGAGAGAAACATTGACCTCGCCGACTGCCCACGGAGCAAAGATTACGATATAAATACTCTGAATAACCCTGATGGGCTTTGGGTGTAGAAAAGCTATGCCGTCCTAGACCTCGGCATCACTTGAGCTGCAATTAATCCACGCTGCTCGCCTATCTCTCGAAAGTATCAGAATATAAGAAGCATCCAACTTGATGCCATATTAGTAAAAATAATTTTGTCATAAATAATAATCTTTATTTTCATTAGTGGTGGATTTTTTAGACAGCTATGTTGTTTAGACACAATTCTTCATGCAAAATAGCTAAACAAATCAAATGTTGATCCTCAAATACAAACAAGGAAAGCAAGCAACCAAAATTATTACACCTTGTAATATTCATCCTCAATCATTGAATAAAATCATATCCCTACTCTAGCATAATTTTTCGTCTACTGACAATATCAAAGGTTTAAATTTGTATTATTTTACGTTTTGTAGTCAACAATAATTTTAGGTTGCTAACTTAGTTGATGTAATAAGTGTAAAGTAAATTTGGTTGAAGAAATGGATTGTTGAGCTATTTTGAAATAGGGAAATTTGGAAGTTGCTTTGTACTTGTACTTGTAGGTTGAGTACCCTCTCAACCTACATACAAATCGATCATCACTCATCCAAAAGGTTTTCCCACTTTCCCAGGAACTTGAATTTAAATATACTGGTACCCAAAGCTATAGGGAGATTTTAAATCCTGAAACCCTTTATATTATAAAATCCCTTCAGATCTTCTGTGATTTAAATCTCCACAGTGTCATTCAATTATCATTCCAAAATAATATGAACATTCTTTTTCAGCAGGGGTAAATTTATGCAGTAAATATCAACACCCAACTATCCCAGTGTAGGAAGTATGGTTAAAGTTTATTTCACAGTTTAAAAATAGTTTGCTAGACTGTGAAGTAGGAAGCTAGTCATGAAAATAGTATCTAATTATAGAAGTGGTGGTGTGTCAGCCAAAGGTTTTATAGGCCAATTAATTGTGGGACGAGACATTTAACAGCCTATTACAGCATAGGAAAGTAATCTTCATCAATTTGTTGTGAATTTCCAAACAAAATCTATTCAGGTTTTATGCTACTCTAATTCAAATTTGAATTTCATTGGCACATATATGGATCTAAAACCAGTGCTCGATTTGCGGGGGAAAACGGCAGAACAGAGTTCCGGTACCTCTCATTTGGAAAGATAAAAATATTGGCATAAATAGGTACATATCACATTGTTACCGTACAGTTCCAGCACCTCATTTTTTACAAATCGAGCACTGTCTAAAACAGTACCTATCAGTTCATTTTTTCACACCCAAATTCACATGATCCAATAGGATGAATTTGGACCATAAGGTGACAATAGGTAATTCAGCCCTTTGATTTGTCACCACAACTCTAAAATGCAGCCTCTGAAAATACTTTAATCTTAACACAAAGCAGATTAAATGTTTCAGTTTAAAATAGAAGGCATGTGAACGACAGAATCTGCATTAGTACCAAGTTGTGATTTGGTTGCCAAGAGAGGCAAAGTTTTGGCAACAAACATCTGACAACGCATTGCCTCTCAAGGCTTTACTCATGCGTGGGTTGTGAGGGGGAGGGGGATGGAGCCATGGACTGGACTTAGTATCATCAGAAGCATCAGGAAGAATATTACCGTTAATTGTCTGACTCAAATGTGTAGTTGAAGTCAACGTCTTAACTAGAGGAAAACTTCTTATCGCCACCATAAAATTAAGCCACGTTTACACCAAAGTTGAACAGAAGTTAAAAAAAAGTTTAAAAAAGAAACCAAAAAACGGTAGTTTTTTATAAACATCTGATGTTTTCTTTGTATGTACAGTGAGTGGTAACAGTAGAGATTTTATACACAACTTTACTCATGCGTGGGTTGTGAGGGGGAGGGGGATGGATCCATGGACCTAGTATAATCAGAAGCATCAGGAAGAATATTACAGTTAATTGTCTGACTCAAATGTGCAGTTGAAGTCAGCGTCTTAACTAGAAGAAAATTTCTCGTTACCATCATAACATAAAGCTGCGTTTACACTAAATAAGTTTACTACTAAAGTGTTAAAAAAGGTTTACAAAATAAACCAAAGAACGGTAGTTTTTTTATAAACATCTGATGTTTTCATTTATACCGTGGAACCAGTAGAGATTTATTCACAAGAAGAGTAGCAAAGATAATGTTTACAGCACTATTGTTTTAACCTACGTTCACAACAGAGTTATTATAACAACAACATTTTGTTTATACCATTTGTGTTTCAACAAAATTTGTTCATCATTGACAGAGTTTTGAACTTTTTTGTTGTGAGCATCAGTACAAACATAGCTGATGGCTTGCTCAGTTATGACTTCTTATTATTCTGTGCTTGTTATGATATTTTCCACTCCAATTTTCATTGCTTTTACTATTCAAGTAGTAATTAAGTTCTTGTCACTATAGCATTACCTGAATTTGACTTTAATACACGGAAGAGAGCTAGGCGTAGAGTATAATGCAAACAATTACGTAATGTAAGTATTTTCATAGGTATGATTTTTAAAGAGGGGAAAATAGCATGACATTCTTCCCTGTAGGAGTTAAGTAGTATCATAGATAAAACATCTTCCCTTAGTAGATTTCCCATCCTTATGGAACAGCTGAAGCCAATTTTATTGTTAGTTCCACCCGGTTTTCCGTAGATGTCGTGTTTTGTTTACAATTTTTTTCTATTATATTAGGGTTTAGTTTCTCATTATTTGTTTCTCACTGTTTGGTTATATAGCGTATATAGAGTTATTGTTTATGATTAGATAGTTTGATTTGGTTAAACGAGGTTTTAAATCACTGAAACAAAATTTAACAAGAAACAAATTGTAAACAAAACCCGACATCTACAGAAAACCGGACAGAACTAACAATAAAATTGGCTTCAGCTGTTCCATAAGGATGGGAAATCCACTAAGGGATTATGTTTTATCCATGGTAATATTTCAGAAAGACAGATCGTTGGCTTCCAGGAATTAGTACTTCATTTAACAGGCTCCTTGTTACCCTACAAAGTATTATACTTTCAATAGTTTCGTGCGTAACACATTCACTACAAGGAGAGACAAGGATCCTCATGCAAGAAGTGTGATGGCTGGTAGACAATGTGTCAAGCATATATTGATAACTAGCTGTACCCGAGGGCTTTGCCCCGTTTAACTTCATAAGTATTAATAATAAATTAAAAATGACTATCTCCACTAAGCTTGTGGTTATATTAGCTCCATTCATGAAAAGAATCTGCTCAATTGGTCAAGTCGTCGTCCTGTCCTAATGTGGTTTTATGTCAAATGCTCGTTAATTTTCAAGATGAGCTCGTTCGCATGGCTCAATCACGTCCTGATTAAAGTTGGTTTGCTATGCTTACTCAACTTTAGGTTGGAGCTCGTTCACTAGCTAACTCGCCTCCAGGTTGAAGTTTGTTCGCTACGCTCACTCACCTTTTGGTTGCAAGCTGTTGTCATATAATATGTAAATAAATAATAGTGCTGCAACCTGTTGGTAAACCTATTAACTCTTTAATGCTATTGAACATCACAGAATCAACTTGTTTAATTAAACCAGCTGTTAAGATTCTTTAATTCCATTTAAATATGAGTACTCATAAGGTTAACATGGGAAACTCCAGAGCCACTGGGGCGGAGCCCGAAAGCCCGATCAGAATAAAAACTACTTAGTTTTCCTATTTAATGCCCAAAGAATCGGTGTACCGACTTTCAGCCTCCTAGGTTGGGAAGTGGGAGAATTAGTGAGTGAGTCAGTGAGGGCTTTGCCTTTTATAAGTACAGTATAGATACAGACTTCATAACATAAGGTACGGTAGATTAATATCTTCTATGTCTTCATCAAGAGTTTCGATTGAGCTAATTATAGATTCTTACTATACAGTGCTTTGCGTAAACAACACATAAATGTTTCATGTTTGTTTACGTTATGTCTATATTTATTTCTGTCATGCCTATTTATTTTGAATCGTCAGTTTCAGAAACAACAACTGATTGCTCACCAAAGTTGGTATTTGTCACGATTGCTTGTTTTCTGAAACTCTACATCCAAAATAAGCAGCTTAAAATGGAAACATAGTTTTCCACTAAACTTGTACCGTACTCTTCATTTTAAATTTTACAATACTGATTATGCTGTTTTACTGCCTCGACTCATGGATAACTATTTAGACTCAACCACTAAAG